TAGGGTTCAGAAAACGAGGTGTCCTGGCCTGCTTTTGATCATTGGAATGTGTTTAGAGTGGGCAGAAATGGTGAGCTGTGCAGAAAAACCCACTCAAAGAAGTCTTTTTGAAAATCGCCCTTCTTTCAGAGGAAATTTACCCCTGTATTAGGGTTAGGGATGCGTTCCAGGGTAGGGTTAGGGTTCAGAGAACGAGGTGTCCTGGCCTGGTTTTGATCTTTGGAATGTGTTTAGAGTGGGCAGAAATAGTGAGCTGTGCAGAAAAAGCCACTGAAATAAGAGTTATTGAAACTCGCCCTTCTTTCAGTGGAAATTTACCCCTGTATTAGGCTTAGGGATGCCTTACAGGGTAGGGTTAGGGTTCAGAAAACGAGGTGTCCTGGCATGGTTTCGATCGTTGGAATGTGTTTAGAATGGGCAGAAATGGTGAGCTGTGCAGAAAATGCCACTCAAAGAAGACTTTTTGAAAATCGCCCTTCTTTCAGTGGAACTTTACCCCTGTATTAGGGTTAGGGATGCCTCCCAGGGTAGGGTTAGGGTTCAGAAAACGTGGTTTCCTGGCATTGTTTTGATCGTTGGAATGTGTTTAGAATGGGCAGAAATGGTGAGCTGTGCAGAAAAAGCCACTCAAAGAAGACTTTTTGAAAATCGCCCTTCTTTCAGTGGAACTTTACCCCTGTATTAGGGTTAGGGATGCTTCCCTGGGTAGGGTTAGGGTTCAGAAAACGAGGTGTCCTGGCATGGTTTTGATCGTTGGAATGTGTTTAGAATGGGCAGAAATGGTGAGCTGTGCAGAAAATGCCACTCAAAGAAGACTTTTTGACAATCGCCCTTCTTTCAGTGGAACTTTACCCCTGTATTAGGGTTAGGGATGCGTCGCAGGGTAGGGTTAGGGTTCAGAAAACGAGGTTTCCTGGCATGGTTTTGATCGTTGGAATGTGTTTAGAGTGGGCAGAAATCGTGAGCTGTGCAGAAAAACCCACTCAAAGAAGTCTTTTTGAAAATCGCCCTTCTTTCAGTGGAACTTTACCCCTGTATTAGGGTTAGGGATGCGTCCCAGGGTAGGGTTAGGGTTCAGAAAACGAGTTGTCCTGGCATGGTCTTGATCGTTGGAATGTGTTAAGAATGGGCAGAAATGGTGAGCTTTGCAGAAAATGCCACTCAAAGAAGACTTTTTGAAATTCGCCCCCTTTCATTGTAATTTTACGCCAATATTAGTGTTAGGGGTGTGTACCAGGGTCAGGTTTGGTTTCAGAAAACCAGATTTACTGGCATGACTTTGATTATTGGATTTTTTTTAGTATGTGCAGAAATGAGTAAGCATGTAGAACAAATAACTCAAGGAAGGCTTTTTGAAAATCTCCCTTTTTTCACTGGAACTTTACCCTTATTTTAAGGTTAGGGGCGTGTAACTGTGTAGGGTTTAATTTCAGAAAACATGGTATGCCGGCATGGTTTTTATTTTTTGAATTTTTTTAGACTGGGCAGAAATGACGATCTGTGCCAAAAAAGCTACTCAAGGAAGGCTTTTTCGAAATCGTCCACTTTACAGTTGGACTTTAGCCTTATATTAGAATTTGGGGTATGTTCCAGGGTAGAGTTAGAGTTCGGTGTTGTCCTGGCATGATTTTGATTGTTGTAACGTGATTAGAACTGGCAGAAATGTTGATCTGCGTAGAAGCTACTCACGGAATGCTTTTTTAAAAATGTCCTCTTTTCAGGAAAACATTAGTTCTATATTATGTTCATTGGTGTGCACCAGTGTTGGGTTAGTGTTCCGATAACAACGTGTCCTTGTATGTTTTTGATGTTAGCGATGTGTTTTGAATGGGCAGAAATGATGAGCTGTGCAGAAAAAGCTTCTCAAGGAAGGCTTTTTGAAAATCGCCCTCTTCTCAGTGTAATTTTACCCCCATATTAGGGTTAGGCATGTTTCCCAGGGTAGGGTTAGGGTTAGAAAATGAGGTGTCCTGACATGATTCGGAGGGTTGTTTTGTTTTTAGATTTGTTCGAAATAATGATTTTCTGAGAAAAACTACTTTAGGAAGGCTTTTTCTAATTCGCCCTTCTTACCCCTGTATTTTACCCCTGTATTAGGTTTAGGGTTGTTCACCAGGATTGGGTTATTCCAGTGTTGGCAAACCCATAGCACGTGTGCCACAGCGGGAATGCAGACCCCTCTCTGTCACCATGCGAGCCAATTCACCCTAGCATCTCCCGAACAGCCACGCATCAGAACAGCGCTCATAGGGGCCGTATGCATACTCGGAAAGGCATTGCGTCACCAGGCAATAACGTCACAAGCCCTGACTTGTCCAACCTTTTACATGTCCACTCAGTGCGCTGCCAAGTATATATATATATATATTTGCTTGGACTGACTGTTAGGTTTTTTTTTTTTTCCTCTCTAAACTGAAGCTTCAGTTTTCACGTTTTATTGCAGTGTTGGTACTTTGAGATAAATAAATGTGTTTTTTGTTGCACTTTGGGAACTCGATATCTAAAAGGTTCGCCATTACTGGCCTAGGCTTTTAATTGGACTGATTGTAAGGCAATTCATGGTTGCTAATGATGTTATGGCTATGTGTTAATTCCATCTTTCAGCCTGATACCTGTGATAATTTTTCAAGAATGGCCTGTAATCGATAACCATCTAATACAGAAATATGCTAGGCTCTGGGTGCAGGTGGCAGTAGACCTGGTTATCAATTACAGGCTGTGCTTGAAAAACTTTATTTATCTATTTATTGATTGATTGATTTATATCCTGCCCTGTTCCTACAAAGGGCTCAAGGCAGCTTACATCATTCTCCTCCTCCATCGTATCCCCACAACAACAACCCTGTGTGGTAGGTTGGGCTGAGAGTCTGTGACTGGCCCAAAGTCACCCTGTTGGCTCCATGGCTGAGCGGGGACTCGAACCCAGATCGTCTGAGTCCCAGTCCCATGCTGTTAAGCACTGCACCACACTGGCTCTCACAAGTTCTCACAGGTATCAGGTTCGCCACTGCAGGAAACTGGATTCTAGACTAGATTGACCTATGATCTGATCCAGCAGGGCAGCTCTTGAGCCTGGGAGACCAAGGTTCAGGTTGCAGCTCTGGGATCAGATCTGCTTCGTTCCAGGTTCAAATTGCCGCTCACTTGCTTAGCACCCTTAGTAGGTCCCTTTTCTCCCCTTGGCTTTGGTCCTCCATTTGGGAGACAGGAACCCCAGAAATTAGCTACCCAATAGACCCTTTCTGGATGTGAGGATTAACAAGCACTGTGCTCACTAAAGGTGTTGTGGAAACATGGTTGTGGGGAAATGATTGATGAGGAAGGATTGGGAGTCTTCCTTTTTTCTCCTACCAATCTAGGCAATTGACTTTTGCAGATTTTGAACGACCTAATTGCCCAGAATCGGACCTCTTTTCTGATGTCAGCAGTGTGGTTACAGCTAGTGAGACAAGTTCCAAATACACTCACAGTAACTCAAGAATATCTTCGTATGTATTTGTCTTCACATCATTTTTTTCGCCAGTTTCATTGCTGTTCTTGTCTCAAGTGGAGGGAAATATGGATTTATACGGACAATTCCTTCCCTCTGTGGAGATGGAAGTTCTGTTGGTGATGCTCCTACCTTCATTATCCCAAGGGTTCCTTTCCCAGAGGTGGGAGAAATATGGATGCCTGTGCTGAAGTAATCTTTGGCAGGCATTTGTGAAAAAATATAATATTGAAGTGTTAAAAGGAACAAAGGAATAAATGCTTAAACATGAATCCTTAGCACTTTACTCTGTGGGAGCGCTCATGTTAGGAAATGCTTCTCATCAGAGTATAATCAATTATAATTATACTAATTATATGCTATAGTTCTATAATGTAGCATTATAATAAAATGCTCAGAGAAATTTAGTTTATGATCTGTTTAATAATGGTAACAAAAATAATAAAGAATAAACTTGCAGCACATATGGAAAAAGTATGCTAGGAGAGAGAGTTCTAGGTTCTTCCTAATATGCAGGTTTTCCATATGCAAGCAGTAGGTTGGATGGGGGATGGAAGAGGCTGCTGCAAAGGACGGCATATAAATGTTTTAATTAAATTAAATTCCATCACATGAAGTATTCAGCCCAGACAAGGCTTACCACCTCAGTGAGAACAAGGCCTGAGGGCCAACTTAAGTTTAGTCTAGGTGCACCAAAAGCAGTGACAACACAACCAAGCATGACTAAAGCTGTTTCCTCCACATCAGCTTCCCCCATCTGCTGCCAAGAGCAGCTTCGTTGTGTGTATGTTACCTGGCATTTCATCTTTTGTAGGCGTTCTTCAAAGAACCGTCGTAAGGCGGAGCGCAAGAAACACAGCCTAAAGGAAGGGAGCCCCCTTGAACATGTGGCACTCCTGGAAGTTTTAGGGGAAATAATTCGGAGTATTGACAGTTTGAAAGGTTGGTCACAGAGCTTTTCTAAGCTCTTTTATGTAGTCTGAAGAAAGAAGATTGGAAAAGGACTGTTGGGTGGGCTGGGTGAACTCCCAAAGTGCAAAGGCTACTGATGATCTCCAGGGAGAGGTCCTGGATAGTGAGGTCCAGTAGACTTGTGCTAACAGTTACTTGACTTAAAGTCCCCCTTCATTACATGATGAGGCTAAATGCTAAATCTACATAGTCCCAAATGACTCCAAGCTCAGTTTGGTAGGTAAAAACATTCTTAGAAGCCTGAGTGTTGCAACCAATTTCATCACAGTACTAGAGAGGTCTGATTTCCAGCTTCTGTTAAGAAGTCAGGTTACCTGTAAAACCTGAGCCAGGCTGACTCATAACTGTAAAACAGTGGTGATGGTCATTTACTGGGCTGCTTTTTCCCTTCTGCCCCACCCCAAATGGTTTGCCTTCAAGACCACAGGCCTATAGCCAGGCCTTTAGTCAAAAGATTTGTGATAGAGGGGCCTACGGGTAAAGGGCTCAATGGCAAAACCCTAATTATAAGTCTGGTAACTTTCTAATTTCACTATATTTAATATACTAAGCAATCTTTGCAAAGCATGTTAAATGTTAACGGCTCCATTCCCAAACTTGTTTTGAGAAAGCCTTTGGAAAACTGGACTGCAGTATGCAAAAGACAGGTGTAGTTTTAGAACAAATGAAAGTGTCACATTTTGGGAATGGACCTGTGATGTCCTTGAGGATCTGCCTGTGGCGATTTGTTCTGGGAGCAATGATCCTGACCCTCAGAAGGGATTGGTGCTCATTTTTTTTTCAGAGAAGAAAGTCTTGGGTTATTTTCAGGCTGGGAGTGGAAGGCAAAATAGCAGGCTTGTGTTTTACCCACCGCATTTAAAGTATTATGTTTTAAAACTATTTTTTTGTCGGGGGTGGGGTCTTTAATTTATTCTTAAGGTGAGGTACATAGCCTTTTGAAGTATCTAGTCCTCTTTGGCTATGATGGACAAGCCCAGGAACTGCAACACTGCTTTGAGGAGACTCTTCGCTTGATGGAGCACTCCGTCCCCGAGATCTGGAACCCAGACCTGCAGCAGATCCCAGCGACCCCGGTAAGGAAGGAATTCCACATACGAGCCTTGACGCCTGCTGTACAGGGCCTAAACACAGCTGGTGTCTTTGTTGGCACACTACCGAGGGCCAGTCTCCCCATTATGTCGGTCACACGGTCAGAAAGTTTCTTCAGTTGGTCACTTCCCTTTCTAAGAAAAAGCAGTTGTGGGTCCTCTGATCTTGGATGTGCTCCTAATCCAGATTAGGACCCCACATCAGTTAGCAATTATTCAGTCCTGAGTTGGGGACAAATACTGCAGCTACAATCCTCTTTCCGATGGCACTTTAAAACAATATTTCTCAATACAGTTATCAGCCTAGAGGGAGGAAAACAAGGGGTACTGGAGCCGCTGTGAGAACCGTGCCTCATAGCCTGGTTTATTCTCAGCAGTTTATCTACACCAGCAACTTCTTTGAATGGAGTGCGGATTCTCTGCACTGTCTAAAGCAAGATGAAGAACCTGCTGCCCCTCAGATGGCTTTGGACTTCAATTCCCATCGGCACCACTCATGGGCAGTGCTGGCAGGGGCTGATGGGAGTTGGAGTCCAACAACCGTTTCTCCGTCCCTGGTCTAAAGAGAGCTCCTGCTTAGGAAGAGCTCCCTGTGAGCACTGAGGCTAGAAGATAAAGAAGTAAACAAAAAATCTTTTGGAATGACATCCCATCAGAAAATGAATACTTTCTGATGGAATTGTTGTGGAAAGGTCAAGAAGCGCAGCAGTGCTCAAGCTAAGTTTGATTCCTGCTATCATGCTGTAGCTTCTTTACAATACATAGATAAGCCTTTTCTTTTGCCAATTCCAATGTCAGGTGTTGGGTCCCAATTCAACTGCCAATAGCATCACCGCTGCCTACAATCAACAGAAGGCGATAACTCCTGCAGTACAAGGTGAGAGGAAAATTGTGCATTGCGTGGCACCCAGGGCTTGCTTTCTGCAAACAGAGATACTGTCTATGTATGCTTAGAGGAACTTTTATTTTTTCATGTTTTCCAAGGTTCAAAACAAGTCATGCAACTGATTGCTAGAGAGTTATGTGTTAGATCATGTTCTGGTTGCAAGAAACATGCCAGCTAACAAAGTTTGGAAAACCAGTTTTGCTGGTTTAGACTGTCGGGTGGGGGGGAATTAGGAATTGCCACTTTTTTAGGTGATTCTTTGTAGAATTACGTATCGCCCCAGAGTCACTCTATTGTCACCATAGCAAGATTTCACATTTGTTTTTTCTCTTCCATTCAGTTTGGTAATTCAATCTTTGATTTCTGTATTTTCCATATAATATATAACATGGAATGCTATTCTTGTTGTTGTCTGCAAACTGAATTATTAACAAGTGCCTTTTCCCCTTCCCAGATTCTGAGCTCTTTATACCTCCCAAACTCAACAATAATATCCAATGGAAGCTGCACATTCTCCAATAATCCAGACTCCACATCTGTTGATGGACTAAGGATCTGTATTTAAGAAAACGTGTCTTTCTTTCTGAAACTTGTGTCCTCTCCATGCCTTGCAGTTAACAGGTCGTGTGTCCCGAAGCAACAAGGGAAGGAGGAGGCCAAACAAATGCAAACTAGTTTTGACCATGGCTTTCCTTATATTTACCTCTTTTCCCATGTGCTGCCTGGGTGACCAGAAACAGCTTGTGCTGTAGCAGCTGCCAAACTAGCAAATTTGGTTACTTTTAAACATTCTGCATAGTGTTTTTGTCTGGGTCTGTTTTGTCAACTGATGACACAAACAACCTTTTCGGACTTTTCAGTGCCAGCTACCAAGTTCATAGCACTTTAATTTTTTTTTGAGGGTACACAACCCAAACTACTTTTGGACATCAGTGGTATAAGCAAGACCTCCACTGAACTAGGTATGATTATGTTTCTTTTAAATTCTGTCAAGGGCTCAACAACATATAGATAAACCTCCAGTTGAGTTCGAATTATGGATATTAACCCAGAAATACCTTGCTTTGACACAGTGTGCTGATGGAAATTATTTCTCGAAGCTAAAGAGAAGTGGGGACTGGTCAATAAAATTTTGCTGTAACCTTTTCTCTCTGGATCTGGTTCTGTTCTTGATGAAACTCGCAGCATCTGCAGGTGCTCAGAATCACTTAATATTTTTAAAGACATACACAATGTAGCCTTTAGGTGGAGGAGTTGGGAAGCATGTGGTCCTTTTCTGGGAATCTGCTTTCTAATGATGGAAGTGTACCCTTTATGCTCTTGTGATTATTGTATCAGCTGTGTGATCTACCTGTTTTGTCAGTGGCTGATGAACTCTTAACAACAGGGGTGTGTATCACACTATACCACAGAGGACTAGTTTCCTCAGCTGCATTTTGTTTGGCTTGCTTTAAAAGGGTTGGGGAACAAATTACCTGTGACTGTCATCACACAAATCTTTGCTTTCCTTTTACTTGAGAGCAATTTTGAGCCCTTATGATTACAAGGATATGGTTAAACCAGTAAGTGAGTAAAGCATGTGTGGGTTCTGTTGGCACGCAGAGTAGGATTTTCTGACACACCTGGACCAAAGCCTGAGTGAGAGGCTGATTCTGCCCAAACCCCTGCCTGCCCCTTGGTGCTCATCTGCTGCCTGAAGAGGGCTGCCCTTTTATTGTAATGCACATCACTCCAGCAGCAGCTCACATTTGGATTTTACTTGTATGTTTAACCAAAAAAGCCACCTGTCACAGGGGCTGCTGGTACATGACAGCCCACTGTAGATTGTTTAAGCCGTGTGAGGCTGCCGTGTGTGTGCCATTTTGAATATGTAAATCAGGATGCAACTTGGCACTTACACGCATCATGGCTCATCATCGCAATCCAGGAATGCCACGCCGTCCACACTCAGTTACTGGCAATAATGCCTGCTAAAAGGTCAGAGGGCCCGCTTGAACTACATTCCAGTGCTCCTGCTGGTAGGACTGGCGGGAGGAGAATCCTCAGGGCAGGCCTGCAAAATCCTGACTAACAAAAGCAGAATGAATTGTGCAACATGGGATTTTAAGAATTTGTGACATTTCCAAAATGCATATGGGTCGCAGACTTCAGATTTCCTTGCTGCAGAATTGAGATGCATTGGATTCTGGCCCATTTTCTCTTTCTCTCTCTCTCTCTCTCCCCCCCCTGCCCCCCCCCACACACACAGGGTGGGCCAAAAGTAGGTATACAGTACTGATTGGTCCATGTTTAGTCTCTTAGGTGCTCAAAATGTCCTCCATCAACATTGCAGCATGCCTGGAACCTGTTCCCAACACTGTGACACAAATGCCAGTTAGCACCAATGTGGATAGATGCATATCAGATGAACTCCTTCAGTTCGTTCACTGGGTGAGGTCCTTCATGGCTTGTTAGCACAGCTTGTTAGCACAGTTGAATCCAAGCAACCTAACTCACATTTCAGCACTAACTCAACAACCCCTTGAGTGCAGGTTATCATATTGTCTGAACCCAGTCAGTAACACACAGGCCTTTCAGTGCTAATAGTGGCATGTTGTTCAGTTCAGAAGAAAAGTGTGCCTCCGTTATCAGATGCTGAGGAGCGCTGGCCTATTTGCTGTTTTGAGGTTTTACACTGATTGTCTGTGCTAGGAGCAGAAGTGTGAATATTCTCGATAATGATTCCCTCACAATCTGGTGCTGGATGAGACAGATGTTGGCCACAATTTGGCAAACATAAAGCACTTATACGTCCCCTGATCTCTCCTCTGAGATCACAAGGGATGTTTAACCACACAATCCTATCAGTGGTAAGCCCTGCTGAAGTCCATGGGACTTACAGATAAGTGACATGGCTGAATTATGCCTGACTTTTAAAAGCTATCTTGGATATATTATTGTTTTTAAAAGTGGCATAAGGTTAGCTGCACATTGCTCTTCTCAGCCTGGAACAGAGAAAAATATCCTCCAGGGAACAGGCAATTGTTGTGTGCTTGTTCAGGAGTGAATTAATTTGTACATTCCTCTTATAAAGTAATTCAGAACCTCCATTATACATAAATATTTGATAGATGTAGGCAAATTAAATCTCATCATATATTTCCTCTATTAGCCCTATTATAATTTGATGCATATGGAATAATAATTCCACAGACAAAAATGAACCTTATGGCACCTGAATAACAAATTTGTTACAGAATATGTTGGATTAAAGTTTATGCCATAATCTTTAAGGTGCCACAAGGCTAATTTTTACTGCAACAAATGAATGTGAGTATCCCCTCCGGAAATACTGATTCTCCATTCTCTTCTGCATCCCTTTCTCTTCCAATGTAAAAGTGCAGCCCAGAAAGTGCGCCCAGTGACTTCAGTGAGAGAACAGTGCAATCCTGCGTGGTCTATTAAGTCCACTGAGTTGAGTGAGGCTAAGACCGCAGCCATAAAAACACTTGTAAAGGATCATGAGGCAGAAAGTTCTCACCCATGTGCATTTTTGCTCTGCCTTTATGTCTGCCACTTGCATCAAAAATGGGAAACCACTTAACACACACGCTGCAGTTACAACTTTTAATACAGGTCATAGGTCACAAAATTGTTTTGCTGGGTACTGTTGACAAAGGAAAGAGGGAACTTCTTCAACCCATCGAGGTCCAGCTAAGCAGGGTATGGGTGCTGAGGAAGAGATTCCTCAATGTCGGGAACTCAGAAACATTTCCTATAGATGTAGAAAGGCCCCCGTTCTTCATATTCTCTCCTGTGAACCCAGAGCTGCTGGAAAGTCTTGAGGGATGCCAGGATAGAACCGCCAATCCATACGGATGTTTTTCGTTCAGAGGAGGCTGAGGAAATGGGATTATCATTTGGGCACATTCTAATCAACTCCCTCTGGAAGCGGTCAGCAAAGCCCTTTATTGTGGTACAGCCCCCACACAGCAAGATGTTGCCCATCAGCTTCTTTTTAAGGGTGACATCACACTTATTGAGGGAAGTCATGGTCAGGAGCGGAAGTCCCAGCTGCTGCGAGTTGATCAAGGATGGCTTGAAGAGCATTTCAGAACACATGAATCTCTCTTTGCCAATAATAATTCGTTGGCCATCAGGAAGCTCATACTCAATCTCGTGTTTCCTGGGAGGTGCAGCTGTGTCCTGCTGATAGTCCAAGGAAGTGAAACAATAGTTCTCTTTGATATCTTCCAAGATTTCCCAGTCTTTCTCTGAGAACAATCTTACGGACTCATTTAATAACTTCTTGAGGTATTGGGTGACATCTGATCCGGCATAGTCCACCCTTTCAGTAATGTTTGGCATGGTGTAGCCTTCATAAATGGGGACCACGTACGAGACCCCATGGCCACTCTCCACAACAAGGCCTGATGTCTTTCCATAGGAATACATTGACAATCGAGACTGGTAGGCAATGTGCATGGCAGGGGTGCAGAAAGTTTCAAAGAGCATCTCTGCATATTTTTCTCTGTTGGTGGTAGGGCTCAGAGGGGGGTCTGAAACTAGAACAGCATGCTCATCCGGCCGAATCTTCATCTCCTTTTGGAAGAGATATTCCCAAATGTCTTGAACAGTATCCCAGTCCACTATTATCCCATGCCTCAACGGGTTGACCAGCTTCAGGGGTATCGTTGCATCTTGAAGTTCTCTACCCACAAAAGTTTCCTTTCTATTATCTCCAGTTTTTGCGGTCTCCTGGAAATGCTTACCTACAGTAGATGAGACAACATGGGTGGGCTTAGGTTCTCCAGCAAACCCACACTTACAGGAGCCAGTACCAATATCTACAACAACAGCCCTGGTCTCTTTCACAATCATCCTACGAGCTGACTCTGCCTCCTCTCTAGGTTTTTTCTCAGGCCTTATTTTTGTGCCTCTTTTTGATGGCATGGAGCCAAAACTTGCACTTCCTTTACTTGACATTTTCTTTCCTGGTTCTCATCTGCAGACATTTGCTGACCACCATTTTCAAAGGGTAGGAATGCCCATGAGTTTCAGAATCTTGACACCAAGAGTGTGCATTATGACATCATCCACACTGAGGCCTTGAACAGGAAATAGGCAATAAAATTTGCCTGTTCAAAGGGACTTAAGATGGATTTGAGGTTTGCTACAGGAATATAATTGCTTGTGCTATTTGTTTGATTTCAAATATATTGTGTGTGTTTTAGGTGTGTGTTGTGTGCGCCAAAGTACCAAAGGGAGCAAATACCTGGTATCTGAGTTACTAGCATCTTTTCTTGCCTGTTGCTAACATCTGTGGCATTTCCTTAGGAAAATAATGTAAAGCTGTATGCCTGAGAATGGTGAGCTAACTCCTGCTTCAAATATCCTGGTCTCTCCCAGGAATGAGACAGGGTGGACTCAACATGGTTTCACAGAATAATCGGAAGGGGCCAAGAAGGCCATTGGGCCCAAGCCCCTGCTCAGTGCAGGACTCCAAGTTAAACCAGCCCTCTCAGATGGCTGCCCAGATGCACCTTGAATGCCTCTAAGTGCAGGAGAGCCCACAACCTCCTTAGGTCATTGATTACATTATATTGTTCTAACAGCCAGGAAGTTCTTTCTGTTCTGCTGGAATCTGGCTTCCTATAGCTTGAGCTCGTTTACCTGTGCCCTGCAATCTGAGATAATTAAAAGATCCTGGCCTTCCTATTTGTGACAACCTTTCAAGTACTTGAAGAGAGCTATATTTCTCTTAGTCTTCTCAAGGCTAAACATGCACAGTTATTTCAATCTCCCTTCACAGGACTTTGTTTTCAGTTCCTAGATCATCCTTGTTGCCCTCCTTTGAACTCTTTCCAGTTTGCCTACAGCTTTCTTAAACTGTGGTGTCCAAAACGTGACACAGTACTCCAGATGGGGCCTAACCAGTGCTGAGTAGTGGGGAACAAGTACTTCACATGATTTGGAAGTGATACTTCTAGTTGTTGTTAGTCACGAAGTCATGTCCGACCCACCGCGACCCCATAGACAACTTTCCTCCAGGCCTTCCTGTCCTCCACCATCCCCTGGAGTCCACTTAAGCTCACACCAACTGCTTCAGTGACTCCATCTATCCACCTCATTCTCTGCCATCCCCTCCTCCTTTTGCCATCTGTTGTTCCCAGCATTAGGCTCTTCTCCAGGGAGTCCTTCCTTCTCATTAGGTGGCCAAAGTATTTGAGTTTCACCTTCAGTATCTGGCCTTCTAAAGAACAGTCAGGGTTGATCTCCTCTAAGACTGACTGGTTTGATCGCCTTGCAGTCCAAGGGACTCGCAGGAGTCTCCTCCAGCGCTACAATTCAAAGGCTTCAATTCTTCAGTGCTCAGCCTTCCTTATGGTCCAACTTTCAGTCATACATTGCAACTGGGAAAACCATAGCCTTGACTATACGCACTTTTGTCAGCAGGGTGGTGTCTTTGCTTTTTAGTATGCTGTCTAGATTTGCCATAGTTTTCCTCCAAAGAGCAAGTGTCTTTTAATTTCTTGGCTGCAGTCCCCGTCTGCAGTGATCTTGAAGCCCAGGAAAATAAAATCTTCTAGTAAAGCAGTCCAAAATAGCATTTGCCCTTTTTGCAGCCACATCACATGGTTGACTCATATTCAGCTTGTGAGCTTGGTTTATTCCAGTGGTGGCAAATCAAAAGAACCAGAGGCCTTATCAGGTCTTTAGGGGTTATTAGTATGGTCCACAGACACTCTGCCACTCTTCTCAGAAATTATTGGAGAATTTACAGGGATAGGAAGCAAACTTTTATATAAGGAAAAGCAGCATCCATGGCTGATTCTTTATACCATTACAGCAGGTAATTTATCAGAATTGTAGGAAAAACCATCTAGATTTCCAACTGGTGTACAACTGAGATAAATAAAATCAAATGGAATCTACAGCCTTGCTGAAATAATAGGCATGACCAAGGTCTGTTGCTGGGTGAGGAATTTCATCCTTCAGCCTGTCAGATACACATTATTTGTCTCTCAGCAGGATTCTTTGGACAGGGCACAAAATCACCAAACTCTGAGTATCTTGGACTCCATGTTTGCCACTAATGAGACATTTGCCATTGAGATCTTGGAACGGATCCTCTGCATATTTATTCAAAAGTAAATTACACCCACCCCAAACCAAGTAAAGTTAGTTGGGACCAAGTTCAAATACTTGATAAAACAAGGATCATTGTTTTCAGTGAAATCTAGTCACAACTAATTTGAGCAGGATGGTGATCCAGTTCCAAGGTTTTCTGGATTAAAGTGATTATCTGGATCCTTTCCAGTTTGATTCTTGACCCACTGGTGGGTCAGAACTTTTTCTAGTTCATGATGGATTCTGCTGCACTTCTTAACATCTTTTGATACTACAATATCCATGGGACTGCCATTTGAAGTCTCATTTTACACAGACTTTGGCCTTTCCTGAAAGAAAGTACATTTCAGAAATCTACTTGATGTCACCACAGCCATTGACCTAGGGTGGTCCCTCACTGTGTCTTCTCCTGGATGCCTTTCAGCATGAAACTAATGGAGAAAATTTGGACTCCAATGTCAACAATATGATGGTGATACTCAGCTCTGTCCTTTGCCATTCTAAGTGGTGCCTTAGGTCAATGAAAGATTGGATAAGGGCTACTTAAAGCTTAATTTCAACGAGACACAAATGCTTCTGGCCAGTAAAGTATGAACCAGGGATTATGATTTCAGCCTCCTGTGGTTGAGGCTACATTCCCCTTAAAGAATTAGGTTTGCAGTTTGGCATTATGCCTTCACCCAGGTTTGATACTGGATAGTCAGAAGGCAGATGTGGGCAGGTCGGCTTTTGCCCAGCTTAAGCAGGTGTGTCAGCTGCATCTCTCCCCAGCTCAGTATAATCACACTCAGGCCTTGAGATGAATTGGGGCAGCTCTTGCCTGCCTCCTAGCTCTGAGGTACTTTCAGAACTATATGAGAATGCCGTTCCCACAGTGGAACCCAGCATGTGGCAGCCCGTCCCACGGCCTCAACCTATCTGCCCTCATCCTTTTATCATTCCACTTAAGGTGCCTTCATCCCTAGAGACATTCCATCTGGTCAGTTGACTGGCACATTATTTATGAATTGTTTGATCTGTTCTTCTAGCTCCTTCCAGAGGAAAAGGCTCCTAGCATTTACCAGTCAAGAGACCATGTATATTGAAGGGTTACAAGACAGCAGTGATGGAACCTCCTCAAGAATTTCAGGAATGAGGCAGGTGGTTTCACAGCAAGAGCCTTGCTCATAAGCATTGTTTATTGGGGCCAGGCTTGAGCTTTTAAATTTGGCTTTGATCCCTTCTAACTGTAAGCTGCTGTGAATACTTTTGAGAAGCAGGATATTCTTTTAAAATCAAATCAAATCTGAAGGCAGTCAAGAATTTTGTGGGAGACACTCCAAAGTGAGCACGTGTAGTGAACTGCAACTTAATTGTATAATCCTATGTAAGTCTGTTCAAAGAGTAAACCCCTGAGTTCAATGGTACTTATTCCTAGCAAAGTAGGAATAGAATTGCAACCTAGTGATAGCAATAATCCAGAGAAAATTAGAAATGGGTTTGCTTTTTGGAATTGAACTATTTCATTTTTACCAAATGATGTAGCTGAGGAAAAAAGTCTCTTAACTCTCAAGCTAACTTACATCACAGGCTTGTAGTGAAGATAAAATGGGGGAGAGGATTGTGTAAGCTGTCCTGAGATGGGATGGATACAGCAACAGTACTCAAGAGGTTTTGCCTAAAATACCACATTGCAATATAATTTGCATCAAACCCCTCCCCCTCCCTAAACTGGGTGCAAGGTTCAAACTTCAAACAACTTCAAACAAATGTATACAGTGAACTTCCCTCAGATATTTCAAGCTGCAAAGCAGCTCTCATAATAAATTGTGCTTTTTACCCCAATTCCCTTCCCACCTTTGAAAATGGGTGCAGACTTGAAACACAGAACAATGTTTTGAATGCGTGCACCACTCAATTTTATTCCAACATCTCCATGTGCAACAGATGTAGTGTAACAAGGGAACGAAAAGAATATTTCCATGGGTGGCTTAAACCAGGCCTCACTTTGGCTCGTCAATCAGTTATAAGCAGCTTCGTCATCACGGGGCACACAGGCACGCCATGGCTGGGCACTGAACGGCACTGCACAACTCACTGTACAAGAGCTTCACTTACACACCACATGTCTCCTGTGTGTAACCACCATCCAAAGGTTTTTAAGAAATCAGCCATTTTTGCACACTGTCAGGTGTAATTTTAAACAGTCGCAAACATGTACAGCTACTAAGATAGCTTAGAGAAGTCAACATACCATAACTGAAGTTAACCCGATAATTAAAGAAATGGATTATTGCAAACACATTAGGGTACAGACTCTCCCATTCATTTTGGCCAATGCTCCTTAAGGTGTTCCTTTAATTGCGGGATCGTTGGTTGCTGCTGTTTGCACACATGACACCTGAGAGGCAGTTTCAAGAGCTGCGGGGTGCTCTTGTCTACACACACTCTTCCCTTCTTCTTCACCATCGCAATCACATCTGAGTAGGGAGGAGGAAGGGGAAGAGGCGTGAGGTATCTACAATTACAGGATCAGTGACTTTCATATTATTAAACTTATGCAACTTGTGCTGAAGGCTTAGCTGCCCAGACTTTATATGACTGCACAGAGGCAGAGTTCTGCTCCATGTTCATGGAAACCAAATAAGCAAATCCCTCTTATATTGGGCACATGCTTGGCAAAACTAGCTGCCACCAACAATAATGTCTGGGAATGATCACAGCTGCGGTCCAACATGTCTGGAGGACGTCTGACTAGGGAAGGCAGTGCTAGGGACACGAGGACCCTATGAATGTTAACCATCTTGCCTTCTCCCTTACAATCCCTGGAGCCTCCCCTGCCTTACCTTCCCATGGTCCTTTTTCCCCAGTGCAGCTGTGTTCTAGCACTGCAGCAAGACTGAGGAAATGAGGGCTGCGCGGACAGCTTGCGAGGCCAAGTTCAGCTCACCGGCATGACTCTTTTGATGTTAAAATGGACCAGTACCACTCCCCCCAGCTTTATATGTATGTGGTACAGATACAGGCGAGGCTGGCGAATCAATCCTGTATCAGTGGGGTTGCAGCATCAATGCTGGGCTTGATCGAAGCTGTTCGTGGTGCTGACCCCCCCCCCAATAGATTCAATGCTGTGGCATGTCATGGATAGTTCCTGCCAAGCTCCAAAAAAGAAAGCTGCAATGGATGAGGAGCTCCACTGTGTCATGCAGGACTCACCAGCATCCCTTGTGCCAGCTGGACCCTCAGTTCATGGAGGAAACCAAAAAGCATGAACACAAGTAGACACTTAAAGGTATGTGAATTTCTTTTTCAACAGCCTGAATTATTACCTTTGGAGTCAAGGAAGTATTCCGTTGTAAAAGAATTCCAGTGCTTCTTGGTTTTGAACCATTTTGAATCAAAATCCTGGCTGATCACATGAAGGTGTAAGTGGCTGAGAGCATAAAATGAAAAGAACAAGGCATGCCGGTGCGTTACTGGAGCAGACAGAACTCAAATTGCGAAAGGTGTACTCCCCGCAACAAGAGGTGTCAGCCAAAGGACGGCAGCATCTCTCTCCAGAGAGCACCTGTCACGTGCCAGCCTCAAGTGGACAGCTGCCCCGGGGAGCCCTGGGGTCCCACACATCATGGGCTGATTGTTCAGTGCACAGCCGTGCATTACCTCATGCTGGGAATGGCGTGGTAGCCCAACCTGAAGCGCAAACTGTCCTCCTCGGGGCACTGCTGGACCATCCTTTCTCCGACAGCATGCACATGTTCCAGCAGCTCAAGATGCTCCTGAGTTACTGCACTCAGTGAAGAGATGGACTCCCACGGCAACACTAACCAGTGATAACGAGCTTTGGGGTATTTATCCTTTATAACCACAACCCTGTCGTCCTTGTAGACCTAGCAAAGGGACAAAGAAATGTGTCTATGTTGCAGTCTCACATTGGTTCTACAGTCATGAAGCGAACAACTCTGCACTTGGCACGCCACCCTGACCCAAGGAAAGCATGAAATCTTTACCTGCATGTCTGGGTTTTGCATGGAAGCCTTCAGACCTAGAGCCCAGTATTCTAAACGCTCCTAAAGGACAAACAAGACCATCCACACATGGTTTTAGTCAAAGTCACATTGCAAGGAGAATTAAAATAACTGAAGACTTCGGGAGACATTTTGCAAGTACGCATAACTCCAATGGGTTTAGAGTTCCTGGGGGCAACTGTACTAGAAATGTAGCCCAGTCACCTGGACGCACTCTCAAAGTGTGTCTCCGGTTCTAGGAATAGAGGAACCTAAGCAGCAGGCTGATATTGGCCACACAGCTTGGCAGTGGCACAGAATTTAGGGACAGCCAGGGCAGAGTGACACTACAGAAGAATCAACATTACCAGAGGAATCCCGAAACTCCTCCTGCCGGCATAACCTGGAGTGGGCAGTTCCTCTTCTTTGCCATCAAAAGCTGTTCTGGAAGTTTGAGGGACTCTCTGGGGTGTGGGGAAGTCCCACGGCACGAGCAGAAGTCAGCTCGAGTTAGACTGGATCTCACCCTAGCCCCACTGAACAGTTTTGGCAGCCTCCAAAGAATCCTGGGCACTCTGTGGCAGCAGTACTGAGAACTCTCTGCTAAATATCTCTAGCTCCTTGCACAGCAAGCAAATTACTATTAAATCAATTTAACCCTGTAATGCAGATACGCTCCCAAAGTCATCTCACCTCCCACTGAGGGCAGGAGCTTCCAGGGAAGGCTTTTATTATGCGACTCTCCTGCCAGATCCACATAATTTCATGGAGGGAGTGGTTCCAGATGACACTGACTTCTATTTGTACCCCTCCCATATTCTCCCATCTGCTTCCATCTTTTTCTTCTTACCAGAAAAAATCCAGTATGGATGAAAAAATGGAGTTGCTACATAATAATGTCTTGTGCCTATTTGCGGGAGCAGCCTGCTTTCTGGAAGCACTCTTAGAGTCCGTGCTAAGAACACAGCTTGGCCTGCAGTATCCAGCCACCTCAGGTACAGTGCCAACTGGCACGTATGTATTGGCTCACCTTTTGGCCAGAAGAGCTTTCATACGATGAAACAGAACTACTGTCCTCATTCAGCTTGTAACATGTCGTACCGTCTTCTAGGTCCATTTTTACGCGTTTTCTTTGCTTGCTTCCCACATTGCTGCTCTCGGATCCATCCTGTGGCACTTTTCTACCTTTAGGTTCCGGTGCTTCCCGACTGCCACCTGCTCCCATCTCCTCTGAGAATTGCACCATGTATGGATACTGTTTATTGACAATATGCAGAACTTGTCCTGGCTTCAGTTTAATTTCCTGATCCTTGCCAATATCCACTAGATCAACACTAGTTGGGTTGACTCCTATCTTGGGAGCAAAAGAAAACACCGCATTGGCCTTAATCATTCTACCTAGACTGACATTTCCAGAAAAACAGCTGCCTGGAATGATGTGATATCATCAGCTATTTACTCAATCACAAAGCATAACATGTTAGCAACAGACCATAACTTGAATCAGAAGGAAACCAGTATAAGTCTCTTCTGTAATAAGAGTTCTGGCACATTCTCGGTATCAGTATGAAAGTTTAAAAATGAATATTTTGGTTTGGAACCTAAGAAAAATTAACTTCAGGAGATTTAGACAGAAGGTTTCCCATCCCCCTCTTTCTGTCAACTGGAGCTGCTGCTTTCAGGGGAAAAGGCCAATCATGCACAGCACTCCATAAGCTGCAAACCAGTACATTCCATATATACAACTCTACACCTGAATTACTAAGGATTACATCTGGCTTTTGCAAACTGGTGTCCTTCAGATGGCTTGAAATAGAGGTCCCATGTTCCCCAGATTCATTTGCCCATGCTGGCTGGGGATGGCGGTAGGGTACTAGGTTGGGGAGGCCTGGATTAGGGTCATCCCTGCATGCGCCCATCATCCCGGCGCACGGGCGGGGCGGGAAGAGACGGGTGCGATCATGGGCACACTGGGGGGGGGGGGGGGGAGGGGGCAAACGGGGGGGGGTGGGGGGGGGGGGGGGGGGGGATGGGGGTGGGGGGGGGGAGATGGCAGAGATTGCGGTTGCGCTCGTGCAGGAAAGACAGGCACAATCACGGGCACACTCATGCAGGAAAGATGGGCGCGATCTCGGCCATCTCCCCACTCCGGGGGCAGGGGGTGATGGCAGCGATCGTGGTCTCTACCCAATGCGGAGTTCGCGACCTGAGTCAAATTTTTTATGAAATTTTTATTCGCAACCCGATTTGGTCATAAACTGAGGCGTTCATGAGCCGAGGTACCACTGTATTTTCCTTCCTGAAGTTGGCTGCTTTTTCAATAAACTGCAGCAAGGAGGTTTGTGGCAGGGCAACGAATGGGCAAAAAAGGAAGGGAGGTCATCTACAGTGGCCCTGACACTAACAAGGCTAGCTCCTGATCTTGGAAAACAGCACCCTCCTTCTTACTGGCTTTGAGTTTCTGAGTTTACAACAATGTTATACATTCATACTATTGACTTGGTCTATCTGCCTTGACTTCCCTGAAAGAATTCTGGGAACTGTGGTTTTATTCAAGGTACTCAGAATGTTTATGTATAACAGGATTCTAGGTATGTCTGCTCAGAATTAAGACCCACTGACTTCCAAGAACATTATTCCCGAGTAATACTATACAGTGTTGCAGGATAAAACACACAAATTTAAAATAGGACACAGAAAATGCATTCAGCTTGTTCGAAGTCTGAGGTCTTTAAAAATCCTAAGTCTAGGAGGGACCAATCAAGTATCATGTTGAATTAGAAAACTATAAAAGTTATGGGTGTTTGTAAATTTTTAATGCTTTGTGAACCATTTCAGAGAGCTGCTGGCTATTGAACAGTATATAAATATTTTAAATAAATAGTATTCCCTGATCTGCCTTTTGACCTTTGTCTTGCCAGAATTAAGCTTCACATAGTATCACTCACTGGTTTAGAACTATACAGCTTCCTTGAATTTCAGCAGAAATGAGAGAGAGAGAGAAAGAGAGAGAGAGAGAGAGATTGGTGTAACCAGTAGGCCAACAACCCGGCAACACCAATCCTCCAATCTCACCCCATGGTTTCAACTGTATGTTGAATACCACAGGGGGAAAAGGTGCAGCTCTGGAGGACACCATAGGGTGGCTGCCGTGTCATGCAGCAGGAATCTCCAGGCGCCACCTTCTGATACCGGAGCCAGACAATCTGTTCCAGGTGCAGTGCACATGGTTTTGTGCTTAGGAATAGCCTGGTATCAGGTTGGTATCAGGAGGTGAAAAAGGCAATCAGCAACTCAAGAACCTAGCATCCTCAATGAATGGAGTGTGCCTATATGATACACTCATTTATCTATAATAGGCTTATGCATGTGTGAATGAGCGTAACTGCAAAATAAGAAGTAAAACTATCAATAAGAAGTATAGCTGAAAATGAACATTTCCTTTTGGGGCACATTATGGGATCAGCTGAAATCTTCTGCTCATGAAGAAGTCAGTTTCTCAGTGTGGCCCTACTAAACCATTTGATTTGTTGACCCACTTCACATGACCCACTGAGCGAACTGTAGGCTGTTCAATCCATGATGAACCATAGTGTGTAATGGAAGAAATTCTGAATTCTTAAGCATTACCATGTTGTGCAAACCCTGAGGATTACTTGAGAGTTAAACAACCCTCATATGACCATTGATTTGTTGTAGTATTATACGAGGGTTGTTTAACCCTCAAATAACCCTCAGTGGCTGGGTTTGCAAAAAACAACAACCCCCACACTAAGGTTGAATATTGAAAATGTTGCCCAGCATACACCCTAGTTCATCATAGGTTAAACAATCCCTGATGAGAGAGGCATGTAATGCAAACCAAGCCATTGAATATGCTCAAAAAGAGCTCTTGAAAACGAGAGAGAGAGAGAGAGAGAGAGCGCGCGCGCGCGCGCATTTTTCCCAAGGGCCAATTGAAACTGAGGGCCATGTTCCATACAGGAGGGAGTGTGGCTTAATTGGATTGGAAAAACCAGACAAATGTTCTGAGACCACAGCCCAGCCCTGTATGAGCTGCTGGCTCTGAGACCAAGGGAGATGGTCAATAGGCATGAATAAGGCAGGAAGCATCTACTGGATGGTCTTGAGGAAATACAAACTTTTTAAAGCCAGTTTGAACATTCAGGGAAAAGCCCCAATTAATGAGATTCTCTGCTGTAAAACTATTCTTTTGTCGAACTGGTACTGAAACTTCAGACTCCCTGTAATGGATAACTGTGAGTTAGATAACTCATCATCAGTTATGGCTGGCACAGGAGCAAAGGTAACTGCCTCTTGCTACTTCTGCTTTGCAGCCAGTTTTGTTCAAACTCAAACCATGATTTATTGTTGGATTAAAATTCTTGGTAGTTTGTCTCACAATCATCTGGAGTTCCAGGTTTACATGTTGGGCTTTCCTGACTTGTTTATATAAGCCTAGTAAAAGTGATGAGGACATTTACTCACTCTAGTGCAGCCCACCAATTCATGGGTTAAACTATATTTAAGGTATTTCTATACTGTTCGATTAGAGGAGCTCTCAGAAAGGTATACAGAAGATACTTTAAAATATAAAATAACAATCAATTCAATAACAAAACTAAAACAATCTTATCTAAGAGCAATTTTGTCTGTGAACAACCACATAATAATAACTTTTATAGGCTATGATAAAACTACAGTGGTACCTTGGCTCATGAACTTAATCTGTTCCAGGACTCTGGTCATGACCCAAATTGGTTGTGAGCCAAGTTATATTTCCCTGTAAGGTTCAATGTAAATAAGGTTAATCCGTTCTGTAACCATTTTTTAAAATCAGAAAAATGTGAAGCAAAGTGACAAAGAACAACAAAGGTCGCGGCCGTCCCCCCCCCCCCCCAGCACAAGCGCGGCCATCTCCCTGCCCCCCCTCCAGCATGACCGCGATGGTGCCCGTCTTCCCTGCACGCGCCTGTCATCCTGGCGCACTCGGGGAGGGGGGAGTCAGACGTGAATGCAAGCACGCTGGCGGGGAGGAGACGGGCACGAATGGGGCGCGCTGGTGGGGGGAAGAGACGGGTGCAAACGTGGGCATGCTGAGTGGGGGAGATGGCCGAGATCACAGTTGCGCTCCTGCAGGAAAGACAGGTGCAATCACAGGCCGCTCCTGCAGGAAAGACGGCACGATCTTGGCCATCTCCCCACTTGCGGGGGGGGGGGGGAGATGGCTGCGATCGCGGTAGCCACCCAATGCGGAGTTTGTGACCTGAGTCAAAATTTTTATGAAATGTTTGTTCGCGACCCGATTTGGTTGTGAACTGAGGCGTTTGTGAGCCGAGGTACCACGGTTTGCTTCTCAAACCACTCCACAACCTTCACAAAGTGCCATGGTTTCTGAGCAGCTTGTTCATCACCCCAACAAGACACCCCTCTGGGTTCAGATGATGTTCAGATAATTACCCACAGGGGTAATTAATTATGTAATTCAGGCTGGCACATGCAGGGTGCTTGACAAGTCACTATGGCTTACTGAACACTCTTGTGCTGTGCAAACTGCTTACTATCTGGGGAACAAAACTGCTACATACAGTCGTCCTTTCCATAGTCAGTGATCTGGCTGACATTACATGACAACCCACCATGGGAAACCTGCCTGGCGGGTTGGGAAAGGCTAAACAGCTGCTTGGCAAGAGCAGCAAAATCTCCTGCTGCTCAGCTTTTCAATCTCATCAGTGACTGCCCTTCCACCAGGGCTGAAAAGACACTCTGGAAAGACCACTGCTTGTTCCTTGGCTAAAAAATAAAACCTTCACAAATATACCCCTGAAAACTGCACATTATTATTTTGTTGGTCTTTTGCAGGTACAGAAGTGTGCCCTTCTAGTAAGGTAAAACTACATATAGGCTAATTTGCATACAATTGCCAGAGATCAAATGCTTGATTTGCATCAGGAAAGGGCAAAAATTTTTAGAAAGAAGGTGTATCAAGAAGGAGGTGAGGACATTATCACCATTTACTGGATCAACATAAAATGGGAACAACTTGATGACACATAACAACAATTATATTTATTATTTATTTTATTTAAAACATTTCTATGCCACCCCCATCGCAACAAAGCCTTGGGGTGGCTCACACATTATAACACTTCTACCAGGCAGAAAAGTTGAATAGCAAGAAAAAAAATCTACTTTAGGCTTGTGCCTCTTAAGGAGTTTAGACAAAGGAACTGCCTTCCAATGAAAACATGGTATGCTTTGAATAATACTTGTGAAATCTTTTTTTGTTAATGATTAAGCCCTGCCAAAAAAAAATGGGCTTGTTTTTCTCTTTCTTTTGCAGTATAAATGGAAGCATTAAGAAATGTCATGTTCAACAAGATGTGATGTACTGGAGATCAAGGACATCATGTGGAATACATACAATGCATTTCAAATCACAGTACCAAAGGCTGGTTACTGCAGGATGCAAGTACTTTATCCTTCTATAAATGTTCAAACTTTATAAAGTGCTAGGAAAGCACTCAGGAATGCTACATAGAGAGGAAAGGACCTACCTGTTTAACTGTGACATAACCTTTGTTGCAGTCTGCTTTTAGCTGCACTGAAAATAAAAGTGACAAAACAATATTAAGTCCATACCCAGGAATGTTGTAAAGGGAGGAAAGCTATAGAATCATAGAACAGTTAAGTTGCAAGGGGCTTATAAGGGGCCATCAAGTCCAGCTCCCTGTTCAAAGCAGGACCCCAGCTTAAAGCAACCCTGACAGATGGCTGTCCAGCTGTATCTAGAATGCCTCCAGGGTAGAGGCCTCCACCACCACCCTGGGTCATTGGTCCCATTGCTATACTGCTCTAACAATGAGGACATTCTTCCTGATATCTAGTCAGAATCTATCTTCCCATAACCTGAGCCTGTTATTCTGTGTCCTGCACTCTGGGGTGATGGAGAAGAAATCCTGGCCCTCCTCAAGTATTTCAAGTATTTACAAAGTGCTATCCTCAGTCTCGGAAGACATCTCCCCTCAGTCTTCTCTTTTCCAGGATAAACATGCCCAGTTCTTTCAGACTCTCTGCCAAACATGCCCAGTCTCCTGATCATCTTTTCTGCCCTCCTCTGAGCTTTTTCCAGTTTGTCTGCATCTTTCTTGAACTGCGGTGCCCAGAACTGGACACAGTACTCAAGAGGGGGCCTAACAGAAGGAAACTAGTACATCACATGATTTGGAAGCTATACTCCTATGAATATAGCCTAATACCATTAGAGGGATTTGTTGTTGTTTTGCAGCCACATCACATTGTTGACTCTTATTCAACCTATAATCTATGACAATTCCAAGCTCCTTCTCACTTGTTACCCATTTTGTAACGGTGCATTTGCTTCCCTTCTCCTAGGTGTGGAACTTGGCATACTAGAATGCATGGAGTGGAGACAGAATTGGTCAGTTCAAATGAGTTGATACAACTGAACTTAACTAAGTTAGATAGTTAACTAACTAAATCAGAAAGTAAGGGTCTCCTTTTCACCAATTTATTTTAAGCCAGGAAAATCAAATTCATCTTGCCAAGCTAGAAAATAAATGTGGCCCAGCAACTTTAATGGAATCATAGACACAGGGAGCAAAATTATGGTTACAGTTCAACATCTGACCCTATTTGCCAAGAACCATTATTTTATTCCATTGCCTGGTTTCAGTACTCCTCCTTAGGCTCTTACACATATGGAAAGGAATACACAACATGAATAGTGAATGATAGTGAACTTAATAGATATTACACTTGCTTGCTCTTCATTTTTCAAATCATTATGACCAGTTTACTAGCACATCTTATTTCAGAAGACAATACAAAACATCTTACTGCAGAATATAAAGGAATATAATGCACCACAAATATAGAGTAGGGGGATATGGGGAACCAATGAATCTAGGGCTGGGCTGGGGCAAATGGAGGGGGGTCCTCCAAAAGTTATTGGTCTTCAACTCCCATAATTCCCAGGCAGTATGACCAGTGTCAAAGATTATGGGAACTGTCATTCAACAACATTCAGAGAACTACCTCTTTCGCAGCCCTGCTCTAGATGCTTGGGTTCCCCCTGCCTCCTTATCAGTTGCCGAAGGGCCCTCCATATTATTTTATAATCTGCAGCAACTTGTCTTGTACCAGTTTCTGAAATCCTACTCTAGAGAACACTTATATTGCACAAGTGTCTCTACATTCATCTGTGAAAAGCTGGAAAGCATGATATATTACTTAGCATTTATACAGCATTTCCAAGTCCCACATGCATCATCCAGAGGTATGCTGGAGAGGAAGGGAGTTGTGATACAACACATCTGGGAGACACCAGTTTGGGGAAGGTTAGGAATGGCCTGCCTAAGGTCATCAGGTGAGTCTGCGATCCAGAGTGTTCCCAATCTGAGGCTCAGACTTGGATTTACTATGTCGTATCACCTACCCTGGCAAACTAATTAGCATCAAAACACCTATGCCACTATGCCCAAAAAAAAGAATCCAAGTCAACTTATAGTGCAGTCCTAAACATATATACTCAAAACTAAGGACTCTTACATTTAATGGGACCTTTTCCCTAGCAAGCTTCAGTCTGCAACCTTAATTGCTACATTACCTTGATTTCGTGAACACTTCTTGTCTGTTATCTCTGTTTCAGGGCTTCGCCCTATCACCACCATTTCTAAGTGTGGCAGTTTAATTCGCTGACAGGGTCTGTCTTTTCTTACTAGCCAGCACATCAGCATTGTGCTTTGGGTGGGAAGAAAGAAAAGGAAATACTCAATTTTACTAAGAATAGATTCAGCTAAGGAGAATAACCCACAGGTTATACAGAAAATCCTCTATTTTATTCCAGAACACTGATTGAATGTGGGTATTAGAATAATCATTGGAATTCACCAGAAAAAGGAAGAACACAAGTACTTCTTAACAGCATTAAAATACAGAACAAAGCCTAGCAAGCTTAATTTTTTTACTAGAAATATTCACACTGGAACTTTGGTAAGACTTAATTGCATGTGAATTGCAAGGATCTGTAAAATAAAACTGTACAATTCTGTATCCTTAAGAGAACATGAAACAGGCTTTTTACTAAACAAATAAGAAACATTAATTTATATAAAAGTGTTATGCACTTGCATTTAACCCATAGAAAAATCTACTTAGTGTCTATTACTTTAAGATCTTTGTTTAGCCCCAGCTTTGAAATATGCCAATACTTTTCAACAAGCAGCCCACAAATAAGTAATGGTCTCCAGCAAGAGAACTAGTTGCTCATGAACAGGAGGAATGTATTTCATTACCTTTCTCTAGTAGGAGAAGTTTGAGAATCTACTTCTTTAGAAATGGACGTGTGACTACCAGCATTTCACATGCCCATTTTGTCACTGGCTGAGTTGTGTATGCACTCAGGTTAAGTGTTTCTTAAATGGAACTATTCATATGAAGGTAGCTTTGAGGAGAGAAGCTAAGCTACTGAATTCGGGCTGCTGACACAAATTAATTTACTAGAGAGTAAACCATATTGAACTCAGTGGAAATTCTGAGTTAAAATGCTTAAGGAAAAATGTGGAATACACTTTATTAAGATGATCCTACCTGGAGGAATCCAACAGGTAGCTTATCAAACATTGATTACAAAACACAGACAGTTTTGATTTTAGACATGGGAAATTCAGGGAGCTATTTTAGATCCACCTGTAAAAAGTTCAATGAATTAATTTTAACCAAGACTTGACTCAGACAGTGGACCCGTTTCAAAGGCAGCGCACAAAAATGTGAATTACAGTGGTACCTCGATTCACGAACTTAATCTGTTCCACGATCCTGGTCGCAACCCGAATTGGTCACGAGCCAAGTCAAATTTCTCCATAAGGTTCAATGTAAATAAGGTTAATCTGTTCAGTAAATATTTTTTTAATCACAAAAATTCAAAACAAAGTAACAAAGAACAAGAAAGTAACAAAGTACAGTACAGTAGAGAACACTAACCTAGGTGGGGGGGAGGTTATTGTTTGGAGGAGAGTCCCCCACCATAAGGACATCAGAGAGATCTCTGTCAGGGGTTTCCTCTCTTCTTTGTCTCTTAGCTGCAGGGTCAATTTTGGTGAAAAATCTGTCTATAGTCACTTGTTTTTTCCTGTGCTGCATAACCCTACGGAAATGAGAGACCACGGTATCATTCATCAGATTCAACACTCTGTTCGTTACAGTTATGTTGGGGTGGTGCTTCTCAAAGAAATCCTGGCACTCATTCCATTTTTTCATAATGGATTGTACCACATCACTGCTAACCTCCTCCCTGTCTTCCTCTTCCTCAGCGGAATCCTCCTCAGCAAGTGCCTTCTGCTGCTCACTCTGGAGTTCAGCAAGTTCTTCCGTCGTCAGCTCCTCCTTATGGTCCTCAACAAGCTCCTCTATGTCTGCACCATTGACGTCCAGACCCATACTCTTGCCCAGGGACAGAATCTCCTCCACTTCTGCAGCAGCCTTGTTAGAACTGGAAGGCGCACCATGTCTTATCACACGGAGGATGCCACTTCTCTTGCGGAAATTATCAAACCACCCTCTACTGGCTTTAAATTCAACACTTGCTGCACTTGTAGAGGGATTTTTTTGCAGTAAATCACTGTGCAATTTCCTGGCTTTTTCACAGATCATCGCTTCAGTAACGCTAACCCCTGCAAGCTGTTTCTCATTCAACCACAATAACAAAAGTTTTTCCACCTCTTCCAGCACTTGAGTCCTCTGCTTGCTAAACAGCGTTACTCCTTTTGCCACATCAGCTCCTTTGATGGCATCTTTACTCTTTAAAATAGTCGAGATCGTTGACTTCGCCATCTTGTACTCAGAGGCCAGATCAGTCACACGAATACCACGCTCATGCTTTTCTACAATTTCCTTCTTCAATTCAATGGTTATTTTCTTTGAAACCTTCTTCTTACCATTCTTACTCTGCACGTTCTTGTCACCTTCATTACTGCTCTGCACATCCTGGTCACCTTCATTACTGCTCTGCACATACTTTTTGCCACCATGCTTGCTCTGCACTTTCTCTGAATCCATTATTCAATAAGCTTCACAGCAAATGACCACAGGTTTGTCTGTGACTGCGAGCGGGGAAGATGACCGCGATCGCGGTCGTGCTCGGAAGATGGCCACAACTGCGATCGTGTTTGTGCGGGAACAGGGCCGCGATCGTGGTCGTCACCTGATGCGAAGTTCACAAACTGAGGCAAAATTTTTCCGAAATTTCGGTTCGCGACCCGATTTGGTCATGAACTGAAGCATTCGTGAGCAGAGGTACCACTCTATAAGAAGAGAGTGAATATGAGTAGGGGCAGTGTTTAGTTCTTTCCCCACTAAAAAAACACTGGCAGGCTTTGTGATCTGGAGAAAAAGATAAGGCTGAACTTGGTTGTCAGATCCTTCTTTGTAATCCCTATATATTGTATTCAGTTCAAAAATGTAGGTACAATTTGAATAACAAGTAAGAGTTGACTGAACACAAATGGCTTTCTGGATTAGTCATCTGCAGTCAGCAGGTATGGAGTGGTCCAAAGATAACTGCCTAAGGGAAGGCAAAGCTCCTTTTAAATATCCACACTGCAAATTCGACAGTGGGTTGCACACAAGCTGAACTGTGAATGTGCAGCTGCTTATAAGAAGAACCAGTTCTGGAAGTACAGATATATTGTTTGGAGCAGTGCTTTTGGAATGGGACTTCATTTATATCCCACTTCTTTATTCAGGGCATAGATTTTTGCTTCTCACAGCCTGATCTTGTATATGATTACCCAGAAGTAACTTGCACTGTGCTCCATGCACAAAGGATTGCAGTCTGAAAGGAATAAGGAAATTAAAAATTAAGGAAGCTCCCAGCTAGACTTGGAACCTGGCCCTTTGTTCAGAAATCTGCCTTTGCTTGCGTGTACAGAGGAACTTCCTAAAAACATGGGGCTGAAGAAACTGCAATAAAAACACACTGGCCGTGTGACCCTCCCCGCCACAGCGTCCGCCGCCCCCTACTTGTCCGCACCCCTCCTCACCTCCTTCCTGTCGCCACACTGCGCTCGCCCGTTTCCGCTCCCCTCCGCGCGCCCCCCTCGCCCCGCCTCGCGACAGCTTCCGTAGCCAATGGCGCCTCCCTTGCCGCCCCGGGACCAATCAAATGTGCTCCGTTGACAGTGCGCGACCACCGCGCGCCGGTTGCGACGCGGTGCCAGCTTTCGCTCGTGCTCGCTCTGGCTGGCGCTTGCTCCTGGGGGCAGGGGTAGCGATTCAAACCACGAATGCTACCTAGGTATTGCGTAAGTTAGATCGCATAAGGACCCTTCTTTTTATATTTTCTCAGGTTGTTCAATGTAAAATGTTTAGTACAAACGTTAAAAATTGGAGCAAGTGTGCTAGATTTATTTTAGACAGCCATCCTCGTAATCTCAGTTTTATGTGTAGTTAAGAAACAAGCAAACACATGTGAATTCGAAAGTTCACAAGCCTCCAATTTACATTTAGATTGTACAATATGGAATACAATACAATGTATATTACAAAACATGCTATCATTAATAGCACTATCCTGTAATGGCTACTCATAAACAAGCAACTTTGAATTAAACGGGGCTTGGATCGAAGCCTAAGAAGGTGATTCTTTGCTCACTTATATGGGAACAGAGGTACATATATCTAAGTAAACATGCTTAGGATGGGGCTAAAATTAAAGACAAGTGCTATGAACATGTATACAGGGAAGGGCACAGCTGAATTCATAAGATGTTCTTCTGAGTAGATATGCAAAGGATTGCATTGTGAAGCACAGTCCCTTATTTGTTGAATGTAATAAAGGTTACAAAAATAAACTGAATACAGTTTTTCTGTGACAAATGTTTCCATTTCAGGATTCCAAATTCCAGAGTTGTTCATTTTAGAAGAGCAATCTGGAAGTACTGTTTGGGAGTTGCTGCAAACCCCTTCTAAAAGGGATATTTAAAATCTTTCCTTTTGCTGATCCTGAAGTATCTATGAAGCATCCAGTACTTCAGCAAATTGTGTAATTGATAACATGTATACCTCTGTCCTGAGTATTCTTATTCATTCAGAAAGAAGAGTTTGGGTCTGAAGAGTTTGCATTCCAAAATAAGTGTGCATATTGGCTTGGCAGAAACTTGTAATATAGAAGTTGACTTTAAAATCCATACAATAAAATGTGTGTGATATATAGTTATGCAGAATAATTCTATGCAATCAGATGCATGGGTGTATAGAAAAAACTTAACCTGGTGCCAAAAAGAATACAATGTTGGTATCCGGCAATCCTCACTGGGAAAAGCATTAACTTGGGGGTGCTGGTGTTGGGAGCACCTCTGTATTGGTCCCTTGTTGCTGTCCTTCAAACCAACCTCAAATGTATTAAAACACTTTAGAACAGCTCTTAAATTACCTCACTCATGTTCAACTTTGTGGTTCCTTCCAGATGTACTGAGCTACAACTCCTGTCAACCCTTAGCTAACATGGCCAAAAGCACTGAACTAAGTTATCCAACTATAATGATCCCTTTTTGAGTGTAATCCTTCACAAACCTAGTCAAGAGAATAAACAATCCTATACTTTCCAGCATGGTTGAATAGAGCACAGTAAGAGTTTGTAGGGATTCGTTTTTCTCTCTAAACATGCATAGGATTGCAAGTTTGAATGTATAGTGGAGCTGCCGTGCTACATTCAGTTCCCTATACTCAGTGAAGGTCAATCAATCTGATCCAGTATTAATAAGATGCTCATGGAAGCAGGTTGATGCAACTTGTGTGGTAAATACTCTATATGGCTGCAGAAGCTATATGGCTATAGGGCATGTGCTCAAGCCCAGAAGAGTGGGCCTGTGAATTGCCTTTCCTCACAAATAGCTCCAGTGTTAAAACATAAAAGTGCATTTCACATCTAGGCAAGTGCTGTGATCTCGCCCATCGTAGGACATTATGTTTGGAAAAAAACACACATTCCAGTTATTGTAGGCTGGATACATTCAGTTTGATTGGTCTGCTAGAGATACTGCCTTTGGATTTTGGGGTTTAAGGAATAACAGGAATCACGCCTGCCTTGAGGTACTGAAAGCTTGGGAGGTACCGTTCCCTGTACGAGAAGAGAGCTGAAACTCCGATTCCTTTGTGAGCTCGAATGTTCTCCCTGCCCCTGTGCATTCTGGAGATTGTAGTCACTCTCCTGCGCTAAAGAACGGCATTGAAGTGTGCTCTCGCGGCATTATGGGATTTGTAGTGTTCGGCCACGACGCAATTGCCAGGCAGTTCATTGGGAGAGAGCGGCTCTTACGTCATCGCTTAAAGAAAGCTGGCGAATACCAGCGACAGAAGTGACTGGAGAGGGGGAGGCGGTGTTTCCGGGAACGGGCGGGGCTTTCTTGAAAGAAAAACTCCCCGGATGCTGCCTAGCCTGAGACCGGCTCGGAACTTTCCAGAAAAGTCGCGGTCGTCTTGTCGGTGCGAGAGAAAGGGACGGGCAGGGGCTTGACTCGGCTGCTGTGGGGATAGCTTTGCCTTGAAGTCAGCCTCTGTTTCAGCGAAAAGCGCGAGCGTGTGGTGAGTGTAAGGCCAAAGAAGAAGAAGAGGAAGAAGAGAAGGTTGGGGTTCGCCCCTTCCCCCCAGTTCCCGCGCTCTCGCGAACAACGGTTGTGCGCGTGTGGATGAGACACGGGGAGGGGGCAGTCTAGCTCGTGCCGGGTCAGCTGACACCAGCAGCTTTTTTGCGTGGTGGGAGAAAGAAATGGGCTAGTAGGGGACCGAGACCTTTTGCGGGGGGAAGGACGGCTCTGCTGGGCTTTGGAGGACGCGAGGTGACTAGCCCAGGCTTGGGAAAGGGGTCTTGGAGCCTCGGGGAGGGGGGTGCTGTGGCAGCCCATTGTCTGAAAAGCACGCGGTGTGGAAATGCCAGCGGGGCCCTCTGCCTCGCGCCGGGGAAAGGTGATGTTGCCGGGAGGGAGGTGGGGGAGGGGAGTGAATAAGCCCTTTTTAAGATAAGGGCCATCTGGCTGCCAGGTCTAAAAGAGGTATCTTCGTAGTACTGGGAGAAGCAGACAGGTGCGTGGGATGGAAGTGGGTTGGGGGCTTTGTTCACATAATGACGTGAAGGTAGGTTACCAGATCAAGCTTGAGAAAAAGAAATTATGCTGTAGTGGTGGGGTGGTTTCCTACAGTCATATTTTCACATGAAAGTGTGAAAATGCAAGGGTGGCCTCTTCACCTGGGATCAGGTTGGATTAACTGGGGGGGGGGGAGCAATGTTCAAGGTAAAGGGTTTTGCCTGCCCCTTCTACAAGAAATAGGTTCGTGGGTGTTTGAGAGTGAGAGAAGCATGATGAGTGAACTCTGGTGAGTTCTTTAGCTTACTAGGCTAGTCTGATGTATGTTTCTGCTCTCATTCTTACTATTATCCTTCTCTACCTCATCCAGGTATCAGTTTCATCATGGTGAAGGAGACCACATACTATGATGTACTTGGGGTAAAACCCAATGCCTCCCAAGAGGAGCTGAAAAAAGCTTATAGAAAACTGGCATTGAAATATCATCCTGACAAGAATCCTAATGAAGGTGAAAAGGCAAGTGTACAAGCCATCTCCTCTTCTGCTGAATATGACTATTGAAGCATACTTCTTTTCACAATCCACTAAACACCAAATTCCATGTCTTTGCTTTTAAGAAGCTTTGAAAAGCCTGACATTCAAACTTTCGCATAGAGAAATTCAGAGCATGGCTGCAAACAGTTTTCTGAAGGTTCACTAATTGGAAAGCTTGAAAGTGTTTAACATCTCACGTTGAAGTCATACATGAATTTAAAAATTTGACATTCTTAAATATAGAGCTAGAGTTTACAGGATGGGTTTTTGTTAGTAACTATCTTGCAGGAGTTTACACTTGTGTATGACCCGCTAAACTTTCATATAGCATTAAGCTCAGCTAGTAGCATGAAATGTTACAATAGTATAGATGATTTTCCACAATATGGTTAAACTCTTTGATTTTTTAATATTCTAGTTCAAACAGATTTCTCAAGCCTATGAAGTACTTTCTGACCCCAAGAAAAGAGATTTGTATGATAAAGGTGGTGAACAAGCCATAAAAGAGGGTGGAACAGGAAGCAGCTTTGGATCACCCATGGATATATTTGATATGTTCTTTGGAGGAGGTGGAAGAATGCAAAGAGAGAGGAGAGGTAATTTTTTGAATTTGACAAATAAGATATCCCCCAAAGTGTTTACATGGCTGCTCTTGCTTCAGCTGGAATGATTTTTTACATTCTCATATTATTAATGAATCTTTCATTTGATGAACATTTGCTGCACTGTGGGGTGCAGTGGAGAGAAACCTCAATGGGGATGCATTAACATTTAATTAAATACTCATTAATTATCATTTATAAAGGCTCTCAAATGCTAGTTAGCATTAACTAATTAAGGTTAAATTTTCAAAGACACAAATTGTAACCTTTGGCCTACGAGTGGTTTTGAAAACACAAACTGTTTGACATTCCTCATAGTCCATTTACAGTCTGCTCTTACACAGGTTGATTTGGAAAGATGCCACAGAATTGGATTGCAACCTTGGTTTCTCAATAAGTTCAACCTGCTTTCTCATATCTATCCTGTTTTATATTTACTTTCTCACATTACTATGCGAAAAAACATTCTGTCCTTGCTTAATAATCAGCTAATTGCAAACTTAGAGTGAGAATGTAAAATAAAATATTGATGGCTTTGATCCACAGAAATTTTTGTTTGACTTGCATTTCTCCTGTTTCCTTTTTCATTCTCAAAAACACTTCTTTCTTCACAGGCAAAAATGTTGTTCATCAGTTGTCAGTAACTCTAGAAGACTTGTACAATGGAGCAACACGAAAACTAGCTCTACAGAAAAATGTGATTTGTGACAAATGTGAAGGTATGGTGATAAAAAGCTGCAGTTTTTTCTTAGCAGGATGGGAAACTAACTTCACGAGTAAGTGAAGGGAAACAAGAAACTAGTCACTTGTATTTTTTTTCTTTTTATGCTGTTCTCTAGGCCGAGGTGGTAAGAAAGGTGCAGTGGAGTGCTGCGTTAATTGCAGAGGAACAGGCATGCAAATAAGAATTCACCAGATAGGACCTGGAATGGTTCAGCAGATCCAGTCTGTATGTATGGAATGTCAAGGCCATGGGGAGCGTATCAGCCCCAAGGACAGGTGTAAAAGTTGCAATGGAAGGAAGATTGTTAGAGAAAAGAAAATTTTGGAAGTCCATATTGATAAAGGTATGTTTTATTTTAGATCTGCAGTCCTGTACCAAATTCAGTTATATTTTCTTTGCAAAAATTAGCCAGACCTAGTAGTAACTGCAAAAGCTGTAGTAGAATTTGTGCTACTACTGTTATAGCGTATTTGGTTACAGAAGCAGCCTGAAATATTAGTCAGTCATTGGTGTTAGATCAGACACCAAAGGAGGTCTCATCTAGGGAGGTGAGAGAACTGTAGAAATAGCCCTATGCAACAGTTCCACGGAAAACAAAGCAATTGTTGCTTCTAGTCCTGAACTTCATAGTCTCATGCTTGTTGGTAGGACAGTGACATAGGCCAATCTACAGACAAGGCATGAGTTTAATTCATATTTGAATTTTCTGAGCTTTCTTAGAAACTGTATGGAGAGGGGTTGAAAAACTTCATTTGGGTTCAGCGGCCAGCCACTAATGCTTGGTTGTCAGCCAAACCCCAACTCTTGACCTTATAGTACAGCTTTGAAATGTGACATAAGGTTAGAAACAAGCCACTGTGCCTCTTTCATCCCTCTCCAGCTTGGAGCAGGAAGGTTTGCTCTGCTTCTGCATTTGCTGCGCACAGAAAACTTGAGCTGAACAGCAGCTGCAGAGACAAGGCAATGCATCTTCACTTTGCCCCCATCTCTGAACCAGAGATGGCAGTTGGAGATTTGTTGTAGCTTTCCCATACTGCAGTGCTGGGAGGGTACCTTGAGCTTGTTTCACTGGCTAGAGACTGAGTGAACAGTTACTATGGTGAGTGAGACAGTTAGACCCGGAAGGCTGATCATGGTCACTGCCCTTCAGAAGCTGTGATTGTTGAGCACTTGTGCACCACTTGTAGCAGGGTGGATTAAAAATCATGATTTTTTAAAAATCTGAAGATTTAAATCAGATTTTTAAAAATAAAATGCTTTTAAAGGAGAAAAAAATCTAAAGATAGCTTTTTATTTAAGATCCATTATAGTCCAAAGGTTATTCATCATGAAATAAGGATTAGTTTTTAATTGTGTTGCATGAGGCTGTATAGTCATGTTTATTTTTTTGGTAATTGAATTCTATTAATCCATTCACAATGTCATGTTCAGACATTGTGAGGTTTCTGTAACATTATTGGGAAGTTTTTGTATCTAGAAAATGCCACAAATGCTTGGTCTTACAGTTCTCAAACTGAATTTGTGTCTGCAGAAATCACATGCCTCTTAATGCAAAAATGCTATAAAATAAACATACAGAGATGAGAAAAAGATCTTAATTCCATTGATCCTTTGCAAATCTATGTACACAGAATACAAAGCTCCTTACCTCTTAAGTGCTTAGTTTCAAAAAATTAAATGAGCAGAAGAAGATCATTGGGAGTGGAAAAGAGCTGCACAAGAAGCAAGTGTGAAGAGGGAGGGGCAAGCAGTAAAAAAGTGAAACCTTTTGAGCAAAATACTCCACAAGTCTGAATTTTTTGTGTATAGCCTGAGGTTTATCATATTCTTTCCCTAGAGGAGAAAATCTATAGTGGCAGCATGGAAGTTCCTCTACTTATGGGCATGCATGCAAGTTATGTAGAAAACCATGATTTAAATCTATTCTTACAGACTAGTAATTTAAATCAAATCCATGCAAACTTGTAGGGTAAGGGACAGAATTCATCTGCCTATTATAATGAACAAAGTAACTTCTTAAAGAGTCCTGCAGAAAGTGTATTGCTTTTGGCAACATACTTCCAGATCCAGCTTAATCACATCACCTGTGATTAGGGAGACTTTCAATTGAGGGTAACAGGACTTCTAATAATTCAAAATATCCTTGAAATGGGAGTTAAATTAGGTGATATGTACAATAAGAAAGAGCCCCTCATTGATTTTCTTCCCTCAAAAATGACATACAACAAAGGGAACAGAAGGTAAGAATAGTCACTTTCCCATACTGTAGTATTTAGAGCTAGATGAGAGGCTTTCTAGTTGCCTTGCCTTGAACCTCAGCTGTTTAGGGAAATTACACTATATTGCTAGGCCACTGAAATTCAGGAGTTTAAATGAACAGAAAGCTTAAATCATCTAGTCCTTGAATTCAGCTGACTTGCTCTGCTACAGTATGATGGGGAGAGGCAGTGATCCAAATGTTTGCCTCCTTGCCTGCTCCTGGTTCAAAAACATAGAGACCCCATACTTTCAGCTGATAACATGAAGGAGGTGTCTTAAAGAAATTACTCTGGGTTTTCTGAACAAAAGTATTTGTATATCTTCTGGAGCACCTTCCAACTAGAAAGTAGCATAAAAAGCAGCATAAGCTTAATTTCCCTGAAGTGCTAGATTCTTGAAGCCAACAGCACTATAAACCAATCATTTGACTCTTCATTTAGCAAACATGTAATATTGTATGATCAAACTCTTACAGGCTTTGCCTTAGCTAAGCGATTCAGAGATAGAATGACTGTAGTGCCTATCTTGTTTTGCAAGAAACATTGGCAGGGCAACTTGGAATAATTAAGAAACAGGATGGTCAGTGCTTTATCATTGCATTAATTGTGAGGAACCTAATGGGCCCTAAGAAATAAGGAATGATGCAAGGGCTTTCACAATGGTTGTTGACATTTAGCATGGGATTCTGTGGCAAGCATGTAGTGCCTGGATGGGAGCAGTTCTGGAGAGGTTAGAGTGTGATAATATGGAAATTTCTCTGCCAAAGAAAATTAATATATTTATATCCCACCTTTCCAGTTCAAATTTGAGATTGTCAAAGTTACTTACATTGAAAGTCACCAAACAATTAAAAGAGCAAAAAATAGCATGAGGCAGTAGGCAAAATAATAATTCATAATGTTAATAACAACCAGCACCATCAAATGTGTAATCTGTCACTCCTTTGCCAAAAAAAAAAAAAACAGGAACAGGTTAATTCTAGGAACACCTAGTTCTTAGCATGCAAAAAGGAATAGTTTCTAATCCATTCTTGGTTCTCACTTTGCTTCATATTTCTGCCACACCAACTTCTCAATTTCCTAGTTTCTCTTCTTGCTTTTGTGCTCCTTAAAATTTTGGTATATGCAAACATAATAATATTCTACAATTCATGTGCGAGAGTAAGGAAAGCTGCAACCTCTTAATACTACAGTACAGGCTAGACTATGTGGAATTCTTGGGCTGTTTCTTAGTGTTTATATGGTGCTTTTGCAATAGGAATGAAAGACGGTCAGAAGATAACTTTTCATGGTGAAGGTGACCAAGAACCAGGGTTGGAGCCAGGAGATATTATAATTGTCTTGGATCAGAAAGACCATTCTCTCTTTACAAGGTACATGTTTAATCACACTTGATTACAATCATTTGTAATCTTGTCTTCTGGGGTTGGTGTAGTTCTGTCCCTGGTTACTGAATTGTTGTACTCTGAAGATTTATCCTTCCATGCATTGTTGCAGTACTGTTTTCTCATAACTTTCTGATTCTTTGTTTACTGAAATAGATACTGTTTTCATAGTATTTACATTCTTTATTACAGTCACAGACCTTAATATTTCATAGTATTAAATGTTTACTTTTAGCAATAATGTTGTTTTTGGAACCGTCAGTAAAATAGTTTTCTTTCTTTGAAGTCGTTCTCAGTTCCTTAGGAAAATAATCAGCCCTCTGTTGATTTGCTATTTATATTAATTTTAAAGCTGCATTTCATCTTTTGTGCGGAAGTTTAGATCAGGGTGGGCAATATATGGTCTCTGTGTTACATGCAGCCCCCACTGTCTCCTATGTACTCTAAAATTTAATTTTTAAAAAGTAAAATGGCACACTGCAATGGCTGTGGAGTACTAAAAGTCACATTTAGCTAATTTGCAAACTGAATTTGTCCTTCTTAGTGTTATTTGTGAACAAACTAAGTACCTGCTTGAAAGCTGCTGAGTGCTGCAGACTGGCCTGTAATGGCCGTGGGAAATTGAGGCAGGTGAGATGGCCACCAGATCTCCTGCAGGTGCCAATTTGTTTTAGATTGCCTATGCAAGCTTGCATAGGCAATCTCCTAAAAGTAGTGATGTGCATGTATTTCCATGAAAATTAATAGGAGTGACTGGATATAGTTGACCCTCAGTTACTTACATGCTCTTAGAATTTTTTGCCGTGAATCATAGGACTGCAATAGCACCCATAACTTAGCATAAAATTCTGGGTTTTTATTCAGTTGATAGATTCTTAGCCGAGTAATGAAAAGTTCCTTAATTCTGGTCAGGGAGCCATGTACTTAATGTGGCAGTAGTTGGAAGAACTGAGGAAGGTATTTGCCCCTGGGTTCAGAAAGCTGTAAATATCTCTTTGAGAGAGGGACTGGTACCAGCCTTTTTAAAGGAGATGGTGATCAAGCCACATCTAAAAAACCTGAACTTGAACCAGATGGATATGAATAATTAAAGACTTGTTGCTAACAACCCCTTCCTGGGCAAGGTGTTTGAGCAGGTAGTAGCCAGGCAACTCCAAGCACTCTTGGATGAAACAGTTTATCTAGATCTATTTCAGTCATGTTTCAGGTCTGGTTTTAGAACAGAAACTGCTTTGATTGTCCCGTGGGGTGACCTTTGCCTGGAGAGAAACAAGGGGAATGAGACCCTATTGATTCTCCTGGACCTCTCAATGGCTTTTGACACCATTGAGCATAGTGTCCTTCTGGATAGACTGGCCAGGTTGGGAGTAGGAGGTTCTGTCCCTACCTGGCTGACTAATTCCAGAAGTTGGTGCTGGGGGACTGTTGTTCTGCATCATGGCAGCTATGCCATGGGGTGTCACAGGGTTCCATTTTATCCCGTTATTTAACATCTATGTGAAACTGCTGGGGGAGGTTATACAGAGATATGGGCTAAGTTGTCATCAGTATACAGATAACAATCACCTCTACCTCCTTCATTGAATTCAAGAGGCAGTAGCCATTCTAAATCGGTGCCTGAGCTCAGTAATGCACTGGATGCAGGCCAGTAAGCTGAGATTCAATCCAGACAAGATGGAGGTACTGTTGGTGGGCAGATTGTTTGTCCAGTTGGGAGATTTTCAACCTGTCCAGAACCTGTTTGGGATGCTCCTAGACCTGGAATTGTCCCTGGAGTCAAAAGTGGGCTCTGGCTAGGAGCACCTTTTGTCATTTTAGGCTGATTTAACAACCATGTCCCTATCTGGATAGGCAGAAGCTGATCACAATTATCCATGCTCTTGTAACCTCTTGTCTGGACTATTGTACTCTACACGGAACTACCTTTGAAAATGGTCTGGAAACTTCCGCGCATCTATTAATGAAGGTTGGACCACAAGATCACATTGTGCTAGTCCTCTTTCAGCTACATTGGCTGGCAGTTGACGTCTGGCCCCAATTCAGAGTGCTTTTCTAACTGAAGCCCTAAATGACTTGGAGCCAGCTTATTAGAAGGAATGCCTTGTGTTCCTACACAACATTTAACTTCATCCACTGAAGCCCTTCTTAGGGAAACCCCCCCCCCCAGAAGTAAGGATAGCAATCAGGAGAAGGGCCTTTTCAGTAGTGACACCCTGTCTCTGGAACATGTTCCCCAGAGAGGTCCTTGCTGCCTTTTTAGCACCAGGTGAAAACTTAGAAATGAAATCTTAGAAAAGAAATAGAAAGACGAGGAAAAAGCAAGTGTGTGACTGAGTGGAGGCAGCATTGGGAGAAACATTGGTTGTGCCCTATCATTCTACCCTCTTTCCTGCTGTCTTTCTACAGATTTGGTGCCTCTGAAAATTTCAAAATTATGTTGCTACAAATTGGTCTACTGCAACTTCATGGTCAGTTATCAAAGGAATTGCTTGGTGTATTTTAAAATAAAACCTTTGTCTTTGTAATGTGTAATGGAAGAACCTGGAATCATAGAAAATTATGGATTAGGCTAATGCAAAGCAACATTTTTTCAATTCTGCAAGAACAAGATGTTCTACATTTAAATGTGTGTGGTGTTGTCAGTATTAACACCAGGATTTCTACCTGCTTCCTCTCTTTTCAACACTACTCTTACATACTTGACCTATGTTGATACAGTTGGTTGTGCCCTGTCATTCTGGAATTGCTGTCCTGCACCATTTGTAATATACAGCCCTACTGTTGGTGGTAAACCGTTCTCTATTTCTGCAGACGAGGTGAAGACCTGGTCATGTCAATGGATATCCAACTTGTTGAGGCACTGTGTGGCTTTCAAAAACCAATTGCAATGCTGGATAACAGAACACTGATAATTACTTCCCATCCTGGTATGTGTTGCTTTGAAAAAATGCAGGTTGGGTATACTGCGTATTGATAATAAAAACTAGTAAACAGTTAAAACCTGGGAAATATCTAGAATTTTCATACTTCAATGAACGTTGTAAAGCAAATCATCATTATGATTGCTAGAAATCTACTCAAACTTAAGAAGTGCAAATTTATGATTCATCCGATGTGGTATAACTGTAATATTGGTTGGATTCAGGATCAGCTTTTCATGAGAGAAAGGGCCTTGTACATGGAAGGTCCCTGTACCTGGTTTTTGGGTGTCCCACCTCCCTGACAAGCTCACTTTATTAAGCAAAGTCTCTTGGCTCTTTGAAGTATTTTCAGGAGGCTGAGAGGCTGGTGTGGGAAAATCAATTTTGGCAGCACAATTGATCCAGCTTAAATACGGATCCAATCCTCTCTTCATAAAAACTAGTATTCAACATGTAGTGATGCATTTTTAAGTTTTAGAATTCTTGTATTTATACTAATAAATTCCTGTTGGTTTGGATTAGTTGCTAGAGAAATTGCACGTGTCTTTATCATGATGAACAAGAAGTAAAGCTTTCGGTTAGATCTCGGCAGTTAAGGAATGTAAGGCTTCTTCTCTGTGCTTCTATAGATCAGCTGCCAGTTCAGCAACTGCTGCCAAGCCTCCTCATGACATTTTAATGTGGCTTTGCTGCCGATTTGGATTCAGAATCTGCCTTCTCCCCCATTTTTTGCAATTCTCCTTACACTACAGTTCACCCTATTTAGCAGGGTATTTCCCAATTCTTGAGAGGCTGGATTGGGGAGGATAAGGTGCAGAATTTCTCTTCAGCCAACTCCAATGCATACATCTAAATTTCAGATCAATTACATTATGTGTAGCCTACTGACAAATACCTATCTTTTCAATTTCTAGGTCAAATTGTCAAACATGGAGATATTAAGTGTGTACTGAACGAAGGAATGCCAATCTATCGTAGGCCATATGAAAAGGGTCGCCTGATCATTGAGTTTAAGGTAAGATGCAGCTGACATAAGTCTGAACTTGCTGGTGATTAGAGATATCTTCCAATTTTCTTCCATATATATAGTCCAAGGAGTGCTGGGACATTAAGCAAATTAAAGACATATGTCTTCTAAAGTGCTGGCTGCCGAAACATATTTAACATACCATGAGTCATGATACTACATAATTATGTCTCCTAATTTCAGGTGATCTTTCCAGATAGTGGCTTCCTTTCCTCAGATAAGCTGTGTCTATTGGAAAAGCTGCTACCTCCAAGGCAAGAAGTGGAAGAAACTGAAGATATGGATCAGGTAGAGTTGGTGGACTTTGACCCATCTCAGGAAAGACGACAGCATTACAATGGGGAAGCCTATGAAGATGATGAACACCATCCCAGAGGCGGTGTCCAGTGCCAGACATCTTAAAATGGCCTCATGATTCTCCTTGTGCTGCTTGTCCTGTATGTCAGTTGTGGATGAGTGAAGGACTACAGTTGCTAAACTCTCAAACTTGCCATTGTCCCTGTACTATTTAAACTTACTTGTTTTTAAATCAAGTTAACAAATTTAAATCAGTAAAACTCAACACTTTAATCAAGTTAAAATGATGTTCACATTTCCATATGGCCTCCTAAGGAAACCAGAAGCCAATTTTGCTCTGGATTTTTTATTTTGTGTATCATTAGTGTATTGTGTGCAAATGCACTGGCTTAGTATTCAGTGATTTCTGTTTAGTATTATAAATTATATTCATCCTTAAGTATGCACATGTATTTATGATTCATGTTAAAGATGTGAAATTAAAGTTTTGTATTCATCAGCTCCTAGATACATTGATGTGTTTGGCTGTATTGTGGTTGGTTCAGGCTTCACAAGGCATCTGCATGGCACTGTACCTTCCTGCCCTGAAAAGATAAAGCTCTGCCCCATCCCATCCTAAAGCTTAAGCTAGAATGCTGAATTCTAGCATGACTACTTGGGGAAAAACAGCTGAAAATGTGCAGTGGCTCCTGTGGGAATGAAAACGAAGTTGTTTAAGCTTTTGAATAGGATATGCTTGACAAGTCAACACTGGAAGTCATGAACTGAGCAGTGGCATGATTATTTTTAGTAATGGTAGAAAACTCGGTAGAACTTTAAGCTCTGGTTAGGAAAGCTTGACCAACTGAGCTACATAGTTTCAGTGATCCTATTTTCAGATTCTTAAATTGCACAAGTACTTACAGAAAGCTTACTAATAGTGGCTCATCATTGAATTAGTCATCATAATGACACTTTATGTACAGTTAGTTTCTTAAAAGGGCTATTTTCACTACTGGTCATCTTAAAATGCTACCTGATAGTGACCTAGTTTGCATGTAATGGGGGAATGCATGAATAGTTTATGCTCTACTTATGATTAACAATCCTGGGGTATTCCATTCCTCAATTATTTCATGACATGTGAATCCAAAACTTGGGTAGTTCAGGTTTTTTAACTCAGAGTTGATTGAGCTGCACAACCATGGAGAACTGTTCTTAGTGCATTAAAGTGCTCCACTCATTTCTGGCAATTCCTGGGTTAAACAAGCCATGAATTACATTACATGCAAACTTGGTAATTGTAACTACATGGATAGCCTGTTATGGACTTGTATTAGTTCATGCCTGAACCTCTAACTGGGAGAGGGCTTGATGCAAGTGCCTCTTTTGAGACTCCAATGTACCTAAGGTGACACTTGATCTTTCTAAAAGTTTGGTTCTTAATGTTTGACAGGCATGTCCAGCACTAATGCTGTATATACAGACCAAGCTGGCTAACAAATACAGCATTCCAATTCCTTACGTAGTTTCCACACAGGTCTTACCCATTTTCAGGCTTTAATGTACAACTTTTCCCTAGTCACTTAAGTCTGGCAGGGGTTTGATCAAGTTATATAGCAGATTATCATGGTCCTTGTGATAAGGATGAGTTAGTGGATTGAGTATGTGACTTTAAAAATGCTTGCATATTGTACTTTAAACTGAGTTTCAACCCATAGTGGGAAAATAAATGCTGTCCTTACTTCTAACAGCTCCATTTCTCTTCTTTTTGACCTGTATTTTCTGATGCACCATTTAAGGTACATTAGCCTTAGAGTCAATGTACCAGTTATAGCATCTGTCTCTTGGCATTGGCCTAGTTCAGCCATAATACTAAACTGCATGGGCCAGAAAATCATAATCTCAGGCTTGTATACTGCGCTACTCTTCAAGTTTTTGCTTGGACCTGTCCAAACCATGAATACTTACTTTCAACTATTGTTTAAGAAAGGAAGCCTACTTCATAAACCAGTTTAAGTCTAATCACAACTGGTTAGGGCAGGATAATGAACTGATCAGCAAAAGCAAATGCCTCACATCTTCAGTTGTGCCAGGGTGAGTGCTCATGCCCCAGGCTTAGTCATGTAAAGTAAGGTACCTACATTTTAGGCAACACCTATGGGTTCTCTCAAGCTATTGGATGGTTTCATTATTGTCCACTGTTACTGTTTTTAGGGTTAAGCATGGCTGTCTGCCTTAAAGCCTTGACCAGCTTTTCCCCCACTCAACCAACTAATTATGCTGTCCCTTTTGGATTTCATTTCTACTAATCAGCCTATACTTATCTGTTGAACTGCAACTGATACAGCCAGGAGTCAAGCAAGAATTTGTCCTTACCACCTGACTTGCGTACTAAGGCAATTTCCAATTAAAACCCAAGACTCGGGGTTTTGAAGATAAGATTGAGGAGAATCATGTAAGCCCCCTTGAGTTCCTCAAAAAAAGTAGAAACTATAAGCGTAATAAATTATCAGAGAAGTTAACCTGGAAATCCCTTATTTACTAATGCAAGCATTATAATCATGGCCTCATCTACCATTATAGTGTAGTCTCTAAAAGCTTCTATGAAACACAATTTAGGCCTTGGACAAATATTGCACAACTGACCTACATGGTTCCCTTAACTTGAGGAAGAAAAGATAAAATGCTCAAGGTAGAATTTGATTTTACAAAGAACAAGCCCTGCTGAAAGCTACAGGGAAGCTGCAAATGCTAGCTTCATTAAGCTGGTAATTCACAGTGGTAGATTCCATATGACATGTTTTCAGTAGCTGCTGGCTTGCTGAGCTTTAGTGGCTCTACAGTATATAACTGTCAGCAGCTTAAAAGAGTTACCTGAGAACTGTGGTCTTTCTTGAACAACTTTTACAAGCTGATTAAAAAAAAGCCCTTGATGTCTAATAAATGAGATTTTATTGCAGAAGACTTTAAAAATAAAGGAACAACCAAACTAATGGCTCCTAATAAAAACTAGGTATCAGGAAATGGTCACTCAACAGCAAAATTAATAATTATTCAATAAGTCTTCAGATCACAGCTAGAAATTTCTCTGAAAATAGCTGGATGAAGATTCTTCATTTGCACAGTAAATATCTTTTGGGATATTAAAAAGCCTGTAAAATTTCATGATGAACAATTTTCTATGCTATTAAGAATAATCCTATATTCTAACTCAAGACTAATGTCAAACATTTTGCCCAGAGCAGAAAAACAGCTACAGGAATGTTGCCATATTCATTTTGGGAAGCTCAGAAGATTTACTTAGTAGGAATAACACCTCAGTTTGAAAAACTGTAGGAGTCCATCCAGCCAGAGTTGAATTCTTTGAATGCCCATGCCTTCTAATGGGTAACATTTAAGTATTTGCTAAACATTCTCATTAAAATAGGCAGGATTTTAAAGTGTTTGAAACAGATGTTCCAGCCAAAGATGGAATATAATGTAGCTTAATATTTTACTGTATTAAGGACAGAGAATGTTAAGACACAGAACTCTAGCTCAGAAATTTAAACATTACTAAGGCTCTATGCTTTTGTTTTCCCTAATTTTGCCATATCTAGAAGTATCTTTATTTCAGGTATAATTAAAAACTGAACTATGGTTAATTTCCATAATAAGCAACAAAGAGGAACATCTTACAATAATTAAAGTTTTCTTTGCAGCTTAACTGCTTTTGCTACCTGGGCAAATTCTGCATTGACTAGCACTATGTTTAGCTGAAAAGCAATCTATGCTTCTTTCTTGGGACATATGAATATGAAACATAATACAAATTAAACAACACTTTTGGACCTATTAAGAACAGAAAGAAACTTCTCCACAACATAAAAACCTTCCTTGTATTCAAGATCCATGCACTGAACGGAATTATTCAGTTTTATGGCTTCCACAGCTTCAGCAGCCCATCTTCACTATAGGTAGCGATCAAGTTCTGATGGGGATGGTGAGCAATACCAATTACATCTTTTTCATGAACCTAGATAAGAACAGGAAAAAAATTGTTAAAGTTTTCTCCCAGATATAAACCCAAGTGAAATACTTACTTGTTCCCTGAAAAATAGATTTCAGAGAGTATGTAGGAAGTGTTTGAATCATCATGTTCAGAGTTTACAGTGAGGAATATATGTGTACGACTCAGGCTGTAAACTGGCACCTCCAACCAGGTTGTAGTTAAGAGCTGTGGAGTAGGCTACATCAGGTAGAGATGATGCAGAGGTTATGAAATCAGGATTTAGAAGAAATAATATGATGGCTGAAGGAAGTCTACAAGAGGGAAGCAAGGGCTGAGGAGAAGATTCAGGGGATAGGGCTTAAGAGGATGTTACACAGCATCCCAAACTTTCAGTTTCTCAGGCTTACCAGCCTACAGATGTTCTTTGGTATGCAAATAGGGGCACACTGATGATCAGAAGAAGCTTCCTGTCACTCCAAAAACATGGAAAATTGGGCAGGAAAATATTTGTAACCACGTCATATAACTGAACATAGTTCTGACCAAGGTTTTGGATAGTGTATGGATTTTACACACTGTGATGAAACATTAAAAATTATTTTAAAAGATAATGCATCAATTTATGTAAACCAAGCCAAATGTCTATGGACAGAATGCTCCAACTGCTTGCATGAACACTGCAGCATCCAAGCTGGGGAAAAATCACATCTCAGATCACAGCACCTGCACAAGAGCCTTTCTCTGCTACTCACTGTCAGCGTTCTCTCCAGCTTGCCAGTCACTGTGCTGAAACAGTAGAGCACGAAATCTTCACCCACACAGTAAATCCATTCGCCTCGGGGAGAAAGGGCGCAGCAGACGAAGTCACCACCTTCCCTCTTACCGGAGCTGAAGCTTCTCACAATCTATGTAGTACATTAAAAATACATACATACATACACATACACACACATCAGCTGCCACTGTATGGGATTCTATGGGATTCTCGCTGTAATGCCTTCTGAGAATACAGAGTAAGAACTGAGAGAGCCCAACCTCAAGTGCAGAAAACCAAAAATTAGTAACCTTGCTAATGGCCAACTGTTAAGGCTGGCCAAGAGTCTTTGCCCTATTCTGGGAAAGTGCTTGCAAAATGAAATATATGTAGAAAAGTTTTGAGCACTTGAAATGCTCAAATATATATATATAAAAGGTAAGCAGCCTTATCAGTGGCTATAAGACAACAAATTATTGGGTTTTTTTGGTGGGGGAGGGAGTAAGGAACATATAGAGCATTCTGAGCAGCTATGTTTTTGCTTCCAAGTACCAATACAACCAAGATTCCCACAGATCAATAGATAATTGGGCATAAAGGAAAACAGAAATATTGACCCATGCATTCCTTTCCAAGATACTGCTGAGAAAATTAATATTGTTTGCTATTATTACTTCAAATCCCAGCATGTAAATGCAGCTTCCTAATGTCAGACGAGTGCAAGACTGAATTATAATGACCTGGTTTCACCAAGCAAAGTCAAAACCATAGAAAGCTTTAGCCCAAAAGCAACTTTAACTGTGCTCTCAGTCATGCCAAAACTATTAGCCACCCATCACATACTTGTCCCTGCATGTTCATAATGACCACTGTATTTGATCTGTTGCAAACAACGAAGTGCTCTGGATTTTTAGGCAGCAGAATCACACTGTTCACAGTGATGTCTGTCCCAGCGGTGCTGCCAAGTGATTTGAAGGTGTTACAGCACTCTGTAGTCTTCATGTTCCACACCTGGAAAACCAAACAAGCAAGAACGACAATCACTGCAGATACATATGAGCAAGTCCCCATGTTGTGCCATTTGCATGGAATTCAAGCTATGTAGATAAAAGCATGGATGCCTGAGGGGAGAATGCATTATGTCCCTCAGGTCCCCACAATATATAGGGAGAGCTGGCATGTAACAGTAGCATTTGCTCACAATTCATGAAATAATCCATGAATTGCAGGGACACCTGCCACTTCAGCACCACACGCGTGCTTCACCCAATTTCCAGGGGCAACGTATGCATCCGTATGCATAGCTTGTTACTCTGACATCCAAATCTGAGCTCTCTGGTTTGGTTGTGGATGAAACAACCCTAAATTAATGTACGGCTTGTTCCCGCAGCATGGCTAGATGGTTGCTAGAAATTGGAAGCAGCTTACATGTGGTATATGTCCTTGTAACTCATAGGTTACTAATTAACCCCAAAAAAGAATCCAAAATTGGGGGTCAAATTCTTCTGTACCAATATTTAAAACAGCATCAACTATTAAATTACAGGCTGCTAAACAGTAGCTTTAAAAAAGGTACAGTGTTCCTAGAAGACAGCTAGGTGCAAATTAAGATGGTTTCTGAATGGAATATACATCAGAAAGAGCTGCAATTGCCAGGAAAAAAATATGAAGAAAAAAAGAGAAACCATTCAGGGTGCAACCCTCTGTGAATTTACACAAAACAGCCCAAAAAATTCCATGAGCGATAGCCACCATTGTACTTTTTAATTTTTATTTTTTAAAGAATAAAATTACAAAGCACACTATACACTGAAAAAGAAACAACACAAGAATAAACATATTCAATAAACAAACCCCATATATCACTAAAACTATTCTTAGCAATCCTTTTTTCATCCTAATCCACCACATCAATTTATCATCAACAGCTATATTCCAAACTTCTTTATATTATTGAATTAATTGAAGATCCTGTTTCTCCTTCCAATTCTTTTGCTATTATTGTAAAATTTCTTTAAGCTACGGGTTAGCAGATAATAATTTTTGTTTTAAATACTGATGGACTTGACCTTCAAGTTTGAACTCAGCTTTCTGGATTATGATTTCAGAGATTCATCCTTATTTAAACTAATAAAATTCCCCTAAATGTGACAGGCAGAGCATATATATGAAGAGTCCACAGCCTTGTTTGCAGGTAACAAAGGCAACTGGAAGCAATTCATTGGTTAATTAATAAATTAACTTTATTAATTTATGCACAGATGTGCCCCTAAGTGATTCTATACCATTCTGCCAAGACAATTCACAAGATTTGCCTCACTTACCTGATGCAAGGTGATGGGAATATTACAAAAGTTAAACAAGCAAAAAGATCAGTATCCTGAACTCACCTTCACGGTGCCATCAGAGGATGCACTGATAATGTAATGCCCATCCTGTGTAAAAGTGGCTTCATTCACGAATGAAGAATGACCACGAAATTCTTTGAGAGTCTTCCCAGATTTCAAGCCATGGATCCTGTTGCAGAATAAAAGCTACCTTAGTGTTATTCATCCAGGACAGGCCACACAGCAAAACTTAGAAAAGTGAGACATACCTGATTGTCTGATCAAAAGAGGCACTAAGAATTTGACTGCTGTCTTTTGAAAAACTCAGGCAAGTCACCCCTTTACTGTGTGCTCTTTCAAACCGCCTCAGACACTGCCCACTCTGAATCTTCCACACCTTGGAGGAAAATAAGAAACAGTTGCCTTTATAAATCTGGTCTCATTGAAATTTCCTATTATTTGCCAGCCATCCTGACTGCCAACTTAGCTTGCTTTCAGAAATTGTTTCATTGTCAAGTTATGATCAAATATAAAACCTAGTTGTGTAGGACTCTGAGTCATTAAGTGCCTGATATTAGTTAAATGGATGAATCCTGTGGACAGGCTAACTAAGCTGAAGAAAATGGACAGCTAGAGACACTTATTCTGCATTTCTGTGTTTAAATCAGTGTAGCAGGGAAGTCCACAAAGCTTACTAACAAGCAACCATTTTTCAAAAAATTTGCCTGTACACAGATAGCTACATTGGTAATTTGTAATGCACCAACAGCCTACAACAGCTTGCAAAACTTCCTTGTCTGATCACATGGACACTGTACTTCCTCATCACAAGTGAGCAGCTACATTCAGACTGGAAATAAGCAGGTATTTACAAAAGTTTGATTTCTCTAGCCTGATGCACTCCAGATGTTTTAGACAAACTCCAGGTATTCCTAACCATTAGCCATGCTGATTGGAACTGACAGGCGTTTTAAGTCGAAAACCTCTGGTGGGCCTCAGGTTGGCCTAGAATTATTAATTTTAGCAAAGGTCTGTATGGCAAACAGAGTGTGAAGATTCTCATCAAAAACAGTTTCTGTTTAACTACTAAGCTTCCAAGGCAAGCACGGAGTCTTCTAAGAGGTCAATCCTACCATGATTCTTCAAACATGAGAAACTGCAGCAGATTCAGTATCATCTTACTTTTTTACATTTTCAAAGGGACAAGTAATGCTTTAACCTCTGAGAAGCTTAGGCATCAACAGCCAAGCAATGTGGTTTAGAAGAAACACAAAGCAGCCTAACACAGATCCCACATACCCACCTCAGGAAGCCCGTTTCTGCATGGCTGGCTCCACTTCCTTCCAATCAGACTTGTGGAGAGAGAAAGTGAGCGATTCTGCTGTTCTCCCCCCACCAGATGTGACTGGAAAGCAGTCAACCCCAGGGGCATCTCTCTGCAATGCCTCAGTGCATGGACCAGCGCTCGTTACGATTAGGAAGGATGCTACAGAGGCACAAGGGGGTGGACTCTGCTGTGGGGCAGTAATTCTTGCTGTTTCAGGGTATGACAGTGAAGGGTGCGTCTGACTTAAATTCAGGAAGGAAAAGCCTCTGCCCTCAGATGTTTAGGAAATGGGTCCTTAAGAGAATCCTCCTGGATTTGTCTACTGGCCTCTAGTTCCTTTCACTGCATACCTTGATCTTCCCATCTTGTGCTCCCGTTGCTAACATTTCAGTGTCCCTGCTGAAACACATGCATAGTACTGCATCATCCATCATCATAAAGTTATCCTGTGCTTGGTACTTCAGATCCTAAACAAACAAACAAACAAACAAACAAACAAACAAAGCATCAGCCTCAGAAGGAAGAGAAACCAGAACAGCAACAGGTGGGTGTGCATAAAATCTCCGGAGGGAGTCGCCTTTTTCTAAATCACATCATTAGCCTATCTTTGCAGCAGTCTTCAGGGACTGGGAGGGATCTCCGAGTGGGAGGCCTTTTGTGGCCTGCCACACGAGGCTTTCTGTAATGGAGGGTGCTGGGGGAGGATACGCACAGGAAGTATGCTTTCAACCCCAAGCCATTCTCTCTCTTCTTAATGCAATCAAACCAAGCATAAAAGTATCATAGAAACATAGAATAATAGAGCTGGAAGGGGCCATGAAGGCATCAGGTCCACCCCCTGCTGCTGAAGGACACCATGTTACACCATCCCACTCAGATGGCTGCCCAGTTTCTTTTGAATGTGGTACTAGATATTACTTGGCAAGTGCAAGACTACCAACCCTGTGTTTGCCACTGATATAAATCTGAGAAAATCACATACTTTCCTCTGCAAGCCTTCCTCACAGGCCAATTTTCCCACCACTAGGCTCCCTCCCAGTCCCAGACCACAGCTAGGGGTGCGGAAATAGCAATATGGGAAGAATTAATCACCCACTTCCCACTTTTGCCTCACAGGTCCCCCAACCCTTCACTTGTATCCCAAATTCATGAAAGACATAAAACATTTGGTTTGGAATGTTGTGCTTGTAACGTTTAGTATTTGCCCCAATTTTGAAAAGGATGATGGTTAATGCCAAATTAATTTGTCTGATTTGTTTTCCCCCCTTTTTGCCAAGAAAAAACCTACTCGAAGTGGCTTGATATTGCTTTAACTGATGGAAAAGCAACGTTCAGTTTAGCACAACGCCCTAATTTCCTAATTCCACTCTATTTGGGGAAAAAAAACAGCATAGAAGGTAATTGAGTATTTCTTATTTACTTTAATTTACTGTGATCAAGGAGGTGTATTATCCCATTTGGCAGCTAAGAATATCCTGTTTTACCTTTCTGATTTTTCCAGTGGTGAAGTTCCATACTTCAATGAACCCATCAACAGAGCCTGTAACAAGATACTGGCCATCCGGGGAAAATCGAGCACATTCCACATGAGACTTTTGGCCAAACTGTTTTAAGTGAACAAAATACAAATATATAGTAAAAATCGACAACTGCTTGAGTAGTCAGGTTCAATATGTCAGTATGTAACGCTGGTTCATCTACACTCATGTACATGATGGGACATGTACTGAAATGTCTTTAGTTGTTTCAGTAAATGTTTTTACTGAAATGGATTTAGTTGTTTCAACTGTTTTACATTTGTATATTGGAATTTTAAGCTGTAATTTGTTGTATTTGCATTTTTATTCTCATCTGTTATTGTACCCATGTTTAGGAACTGCTGTGAAGCACCCAGAAATGAAATGAAAATAACAGCCATAATAATATCCATTGCTACAAGTACAAGGGATGGGGAAAGATGTTTCAAGGACTTTGGTCCTCAGAAGTATTCCTGCCCCTTCCCTGAACTTTTATAAAGTACTTACTCGCCCTAATTAAAATGATGTGGGCACCTACTCAGTTTCTCAGAAAGAATTAAACTTGCTTCCAGTAAGAAGAGTTCAAAGTACTGGAATGACAAGCACATAGATGCCTTTTAAACTGAGAATACATTAAAGGTGAAGTCCTAGGCTTCGACAGAAAAAAATCCCACAACTGCTCTCCCACTAGCCAACCATGCTGGCTGCAGAATGTTGGGAGACCCAAGGACTTTTTTTAAAAACTGAAACATGAAAAGGACTGTGTCCTATGGGTGCATGGGATTTTTCAAATTCCCTTATCTAAAGCAGCAGACACTACTGTGTCTTTGGGAGGAGGACTCCAAGGGTCAGATTCTTCCCCTTACATCTTCTCTAGCCCCAAGCTCCACTAGCATGCCTCTCTAGATGGGTTGAGAGGACCATCAGAGACAAAGAATATTGGAAAGACTCTGAAATCAGTGGCTTCAGTCTAGTGGATGTTAGCCAGACAGGGCTGCACGCTAAATCATTTAAAGCTGTTTTGTCCTGATATAATGACCACTACCACAATCTGCGAGCACACATGTGTGCTGGTTCTCCACATTCTGGCCCTGAAGGTAGGCATACCCAAAATGCCTGCACAGCAGTAGGCCAATTGCACCTGCTTTATCTGAACATCCCAGCAAGAAATTCTAAGTTTCAGTACATTCTTATCTTTCCATTCTGTTCTTTTATTTGGCCACTTCCCCTCAATCATCAAAGTTTCTAGCCCATTACTTATAAACAGTAATTATGGACCCACCTTAATATGCCTACTCAGTTGTGTGGGGAACTTTTCCTCTTCAACATCTTTGACGGCTGCTTTGCCTCTGAACAGATCAATGGTCATACCAGGAGGAAGCAACCCCTGATGCTGTTGCCATTTTAGTGCCTGTGAAATCAAAGAGATTGAAATTAAAAGAGCCTTTTATCATTTCTAAATCTAAATGATATTCTTCACACTGCAAAGTTACAGCTCAAATGTCACATAAAACCATTTTCTTGGTGACAAAGACTTGACTGCTGATATCACACCGCAGGAGAGTCACTAACTGCAGGTAAGGGCACACGTTTACACAGCAGTAAGTTGTAGAACTTTCTGCTGCCTAAATATGCATAGGATAGCACCAGAGGAATTCTGCTTAACTGACACTTATTTGATTAGACCCATTCCATGAAAAGACTTTTTGTGCTGTGATGTGGAAGACTCAGTTATTACTAAAACAAAATGTATTTAATAGCATACTCTATAGTAGTTGAGGAATAAGGTACTCCATTTTCAATTTCACAGGCCTAGGGGGGAAAAAACTTTACCTGCCCCAACAATGCCATAAGACGAGATGGCGGCACAACACTGACTTCTCCAGCCAAAGCTTGGGCAATGGCAGCTCTTCGCTTCTCTTTGCTGCTTCCATCTGGGTATGCCTAGCAGGAAGCAACATGGAGGCTAGTAACATTTTTACTAGAATAGCTCTAACTTAAAAGTCAGTAAGAGTTATTAAATAGCAGCATGTTTGAGTATACAGTGATGTAAATATACAACTATTAATTCATATTAAATAACAGATTTTTTTACCAAAGTAATACCAATTTAAGTATTTGGGAGTTGGATAAATTTGTTAGGAGCAGCTGTTGTTTAAAAAAAGTGATAAACTTTACCCTGAGTTTAACCTAGCTAAGGGAAAACACCCGCTCCTGAATCTCATGGAAAAAGCAGTGTTTGCGCTGTTTCCATCTCCCACAACTGATGGAGAAGGTGGTGCATGAAGACATCATCTGGAGCACAGAAGAGCAAGGAGAAGAGCCTTCCCAGTTAACGGCCTACCTATCTCCAAAGAGTGATTCACTCTTCCAAGAATGTTAGCTGGTCAGCAATAAACCAGGAAGCCCAATAGTCAACATGTCATTTCTTTGAGGAAGCAAATTGCTGGGAGCACATTTAAGGATGATCAAGCACCATTCTAAGATAATTTTTAATTAGCATGGAAATCTGTTACTAAGAGAGAACTGCAGAAGGACTGAATCCCCAAATAAAAGCTTGCTGTGATGTGTGATTTCCATATTATTTATACATATTCTTAAATAACATGCTTTCTGCATATGGAAGTAGTATTTGCTGAGCCTTAAAATAAGCAAAGCCCCTCATCAAGCAACTTGCAACAGATGGAACGGCTAACACTTTTGGATCTGAGACACATTTCTCAAAAGTTTCATTAGTACAAAGAACTTGAACCCAAAAGCAAACATAAAAGAGAATGAGCTCAAGAAATCAAGGCAGCAGTTTTAGAACTGGAAAGCACAAAATGCATTATCTTGAGGAATAGCCAAAAAATATGAATGACATTCTCTAAAGCCTGACCTGAATATAGCACTAGAACAATTTTTCAACTGTCAGGACTTCCAGGAGCATGCATTCTCCTTCTCTCTTTTCTTGTGCTGAAAGCACTACCACCCCGTTCTACATTGGCTCCAGGTTGTGCTACACAGGTGTGCTCCCAATTCTGCTTTGAGAACACATTTTACCAAAATAAGAAAGTGGAAGGATAAGCTGCTTGTTATGTCAAGCGGCCTCCTTTCGTACAAGTATCTGCAAATGTAGTGCCAGGTGCACTATTATTCAGAAGGACTGGAATAGCAAGGCAAAATGGTAAAAGAGATTGCCAAATAAAGCAGAAACTAAGAAATAGCCCATAAAATAGGTACACACTATGTTCTTAGATAGCGTATGCATACCTCACGTGGATCAAAATAGGACCTAGCCAAAAGGTTTTCAAGGTGAATATATCGCTCTGGCTGTGTCTGCTTTAACATGATCATTGGGTCAGTTTGTCTCAAGAGCGATCTGGCAGCCCCCAGTTCACGAAGCTCTATCAATTCCAAAACAACCTGAAATATCAGAAGGGAAACAGCATGGCACACACAAATATTTTAGTAAAGCTTCAGTCTTTCTGTGTACACATTTTTACAGAATCTTTCTGCTAAAACTAGCATGCAAGAAGGCTTGGAAATTCAGTTAAAAGAGAGCTATACAAATAGAGGAATTAGGTTTTAGGTTGCTTAAGGTTTCAGAACTGGGATACTAAAGGCTATAGATCAGAGCTCTGAAAACTCTAAATGATTTTAAGGGAGGAACAAGCAGTGGAATCAAGAAAAACATGCTGTAACATCTCATAGACTACACCACATGGTGATACTACTATATTGCCAGATACAATGTATAACAAAAAGCTAATCTACTGATAAATTTAACTCCCAGCTATACATTATGAGAATGAGATGGCAGGATTCTGGACTGTCCCACGTCTGACTGCAGATGGTAGGGGATTCATAGTTTTAATGCTTACATAAAAAGCATTCTGCATTTATCACATCAGGGAAAAAGCTACACTAAATCTTTCTCCTTGTTTTTACAAAAGGAGGCAAGAAACAATATAATCTTCATCAATGCACTCTGAAGTCATGAAGTCCAGCATTCTACCACCTCATTCTGTATAGGCTGCAACACTAAGTATGCTTACTGTTCATACTAAACACAGTTGGACTTATTCCAGTGAATAGAACCCACAGTTTGCTCGAGAAGAAAATCCAGTTGGATCCAGAATAAGTTGAGTGAATTTGATCCACTGCAGTCAATTGGACAGTGGCTTAACTTCCATTGTTGTCAATGTTAACATTAATCTGGATCAATCCCATTCTTTTCAAATATTGAACGCATAACAAACATCAAACATAATAAATACAATAAAGAACAGATGCTTCTAGTGCTGTTGTTGTTGGAGCATGTAATTACATGAGAAATCAATGTCAGCATGGAACTTCCTTGACTCCCTTAAAAGGAATTTTTGAATCAGAGTCAAGCTCTGAAACCCAACGAGGGAAATTTATATTAATGCTAATGATACAGGCAATATTTTCAAACAAGGTCAGAAATTCAAAGTATTGACATTTACTAAAGTAATTATTACATGACGTTCGAGACATACCTCAAGGCCTTATTTACATAAATTAAGAACCAAACTAGCAAGCTTCAATTACCCAACATCCCAGTCTCACTTTTTAGATCCCCATATAAAGTAAACACAAGGAGACATTCAAACAAGAGTCCAAACAGAAACCTATCCTAGAGTAAATGAAAATAGCTGAAGAATATTCTAATTACATTTTAGTTAAAAACTTTACTAGATAAACCCTCCATCTCCCAACAGATTGGTATCCATTAATAGAACTAGAGCAATTCCCACTGTGGCTGAGGAATACTTGCCCTTATAAGTCACTTGGCTAGGTCTCTTTTAGAAAACAGGTGAGGACTCATTTATTTTGCCAAGCTTTTAAAATCTGAGGGCTGCCAGCCATTTTAATGCTGTTCCTACTATACTTTGTTAAGCACAGTTTATCTATCATTTAATGCCAAATGAATTTGTAATGAGTAGTAGTAGTAAATTATTTAAGTTATATGCCCAAAAGTGGAATAAAAATGTTAAAAAGGAACATCAAACAGTAAATGTCAAAAGAAATTTGGCTCAACTGCTGTCAGAAGTAATATATTTTGTTCTCCGCAGAGACCAATTACACCATAACATTGCTAAAAATGTAAATTGTGTTGCAAAACTACAGAAAGAGATTTTATTTTCTTGCAAGTGGGCTGACCTGTTCATACAAATCAATGAGTGTTTTGTCCGGCAGTTTCAATGACTGTATTGCTTGCAGTACCGTATCCCAATGGCCACTGTTAATGTCTGCCACAAAGCTCTCAATGCTGTCCACTGTGTTCAGAGACACTGTGGTTTCCTCCTGCAGAGTGGCCAGGGCACGATGAAGGCTGTTCTCCTTCAGATACTGCATGATTAGTCGGATGACACTGAGCAAAATAAATAGCAGGTGCAATTAATGTATTGATTTGGTTAGTTTCTTTCCCTTGGATGTACACACGTACAGTACCTCCACTAATGAATTATTACATTACAACACATACAAAGAGCAAAACTACCACAAATTAGTGTATCCAAGATGTCCTGCATTGCATTACTTAATTAAGCCACTAATACAAGCTTAGAGGCAAGTAAGGACCCACTTTAACTATGATTAACTATCATTCCTAACCCTAGCTTATAGGAGAAAACAAGCAGTAAATAAGTGAACTGGCACACCAGGGAGGTATGTACACTTTAGCAGTTCCTAGCTTTTATCATGTCTCAGCTAAAAACTCACCAGGTGGCCTTAGATAAGCTACTGTCACTGAACCTCAGCCCTCCATCCACAATAAGGGATAATAATCAAAGCAATAAGCAGTTATAACACTGGCTCAAATAATGATAAAATTAATCATTATCAGAGAAAACCAGTGGAAACAGAAAATTCATTGACAAAACAATATGATGCTCCTCTAAATTACTCCTGGTGTCTCTCTGTCCCCTAAGAACTCGTTATTCCGCTGGACTAGGAGACTTCTTTTTACTGTCAAACAGTTTCCCCCTTGTGTTCCACGTTCTCTTTTCGCTTTCTCATTTCTCCCTCCCGTTTAACTACGTAATCCGTTGGGAACCCTTTATACGACCGAGGACAAAGTCAGGTTTCACGGGAAGCGTTCTGAGCCCTCGCGGGGAGGCGGGCACGATACCAAGAACAGGCAGCACGTAACGGTTTCAGGCGCCAGGAGTCCCCCCTCGCACGAGGGTGCAACGCAGGCTGCCCTCGCCGGCTCTCGGGACGGGCTTAACACACCCGTGCTCGAACAAAGTCTCAGGACACACACACACACAAAGGCCCTCGGCCCTCGCGAGGAGGTGGGTGTTTTAAGCTGGCACAAGGCGTCGTGGGCAAGAACCAGGCAAAGCGGGGCGCCCAAGCGGGGGACGGCAGGAAACGGGGCCCTTTTGCCCGGTGCGCGCACTCACTCGGAAGACTCGATTTCTATCGACATGTTGGACCAGATGCTCCGGCACAGCCCAACAAACTCCCCAGCTCGACTCCCCCAAACAAGACGCTCTTTCCGCCCTCGTGCACAACTACTTCCGGGTCAGCGCCACGCTCTTCCTATCATAGAGTTCCAGCGTTGACGCTCAGGGGCGCCTGACTTCCGGGCAGCCCCGAACCTTTTGAGGGTTTGTCTTTTCTTCTAAGGCAGGACTTAGGGGTGGCTAAAGCAATTGGGAAAGACGACAGTTTTGTGTAGCTGTTGATCGCGCAGCGGCATGACCATCACGTGGAAAAAGGAGCAATGAAGATAGGGGCTCCTCCTTTTTCTGAGTCAAGTCTTTTGTGTGAAGGAGCACAGTTCGTCTGAAGATTTTGATAAATCTTAAATTTAGGGCACAATCCTATGCATGTTTGGACAGAAAAAAAATCCTACCAGCCCCAGCGTTCCCGAGCCAACGTGGATATTTTTTCCCGTCTAAACATACAGGATTGCACCCTTAAATTTGCAGAAGTTCCGCCCGAAAGCCAGTGCAGCACAAGGCAAGCTGCTGGCTAGTTTGAGTAGCGGCAAGCAATTTAAGTTCGTCAAACTTTGCCGCGATCTCAGGGTGTGTTTCTTTAAAACCCCAAACAGCTTCGAACTACAGCTATCCTGCAATATTATTTACAGTAAACTACAACTGCAGGGCTCTCAACCGCAACGACTTTTCTCCCGTGCAATATAAGGTTAACAGACAGCATTGGAATGTTAAGTTTTTAGCGATAAAAAAACCAAACTGAATACTGCTATTACTTCATCCAAAGTAAGATAAGGTTTGAAACAATTTCTTTCTTTCTTTGCTGCTAGGTTTTAATAGCTGAGGCGAGCGACACGACGCTGTTCTCGTCACAGGCGTGCAAAACATTTTTTCCCCGTTGCATTCTGTGGATAACTTTCACTTTCGCTCCAGTATGTTGGAGGCTGAAAGTGCAGAGTTGAACTCTTGCTTGAGGTTAAATCCCAGTCAATTCAAGGAGACTGATTTCAGAGTTTATAAATACAAGAATCTAAAACTTTCAAGAATCCAGTGTCATTTTATTTTTTAAAAAATTTCTATGTTACAGTTGAGAAACGACACAAACAGACGAGCATCTCCCTTAGTCACATGATTAAATCCCTAGACCATGCGTTTTAATATACACGGCATGTATCACATCCCAAAAGTTGCTGCTTTCTGCAGTTTTCCAGGCAATGCGGCGGGGGGGGGGAGCAGCCAATCAGGACAGCTCCTTAATGACGTCACAATAGCCCCTGCTCTCGTCTTCTTTTTTACCCCTGAGCTAATCCATGTGGACTAGAAAGTGAATCACTTTGAATTCTGTGTCGATGTTCCAGTGTAAGCGTCTATAGATTTGCAGCCTTAAAAAACAAATCACAGTTATTTCATAGACTGCTGAAAACGCGCGTGATTTGCCTCTTCTCGACCTGAAAAAATCCTTCGCTGAATCAACGGAGTAAAACGAGTAGGATATCTGAAGTGCATTCGTTTCTCTGTCTAGTCAGGAGTTAGCCTCGCTTTGTTTAACGGGACTTACTCCGAACTAAGTATGTGTAGAATTGCAGCCCAAAGGATTTAGAGCTTCGTTGTTCCTCAGTGCGATAGCTTTTAGCCTGATCGAGCAGGGCTCGTACGTCTTTGTGAGAACACGAGCATGGAAGTGAGGAATTTCTAGCCTTGCAGCTGCTGATCCAAGGAACTTAACCTCCTCAGTTTTCCCAAGGAATTGAGGGAGAAAGTGTAATTGGAAATTAAGACAAACTGGATCTCGATTGCACACTGCAATAGAAAGAATTAATTAATAGAATTATTAATTAATAGAAGAGCAGAATTAATACAACACCAATGAATGCATGCAGCTATTGCAATATATTTATGCTTAGTGGAAAATAGAGGGGAAATAAACATTCACATGTAAGTCACTCATCTTCCTGAGCTTCCTTCTCCATACATATGTGTCACATAAATAGATACATCTTGACTGCCATTTTTTCCTAAACCGTAACAGCTTGAGTTCACAATAACTCTCAACCTAGTAATGAACCATGATCAGGACTTATTAAGTAGAGTGTGCATAAAATCAAGATTTTACCCTGTCTTGCAGGAAAGAAGACACCGATTTTTGACACTGGGTCAAAAGAGCTGCTCAACTAATTGAGAGTCAAGAATCAAACCAGTTTAAAATAAGATAAAGTTCTATATATTTTGTTTAACACATGGGGGCGCTAAAAGCTACTTTAAAATGTGTATTAATTATACATGAGCAAAACTGCCTGGCAACCAGACATACAAGCTAGCTGCCTATCTTTTACAATCAAGGGTACAAGCCTATTCATGCTTAGGCAGAAAAAAAGCCCTGCCATTCTTAGAATTCCCGAAATGGCAAGAAAGTATACTCCTGTAAATTATGACAGAGTAGTCATAATTCTGAAGGCTGAATTGAGGTAAATGTTATGAGAATGAATGGGGAAATGTAAGAGATCCTGAATTCTCATCACAAACCTTTTCCAATTTTCAGCTGTCAGTGCCATACTGGAAACATGATTGGAACACTTTGTCTGAGGAGCATCTGTAATGGCGCATTCACATGTGCGCGTTGGTATGGTTATCCTGTTATCTGGGTACTCCTCACCTCAAAAGGGCCCACCTCTAAATTGAAAGGCATGTGCCAGGGAGGAAACGGGTGAAGGGATGGTCACTTGTGGGCACAACCTGGCACTTTTTGCAGGCCCTTCTTACTTCTGATCATACTCATCAATGGAGCACACTGGGAAAGGAGTTGGCAGTTCCAGTACCTGTGGTTTGAAATACAGGGATGTGGGTGACTTGTTCACTGAGAAACCATTGTGCATCAGCCATGGATTCAGTACACACTGAATTCTGGGAAAGTCTGGGGATGCATCCGTGGATCACACAAAGCTTCAGTATTTCTCTGAAGCCTAGAGGGTGTCCAGGAATGCCAAAAGGACTACAGAATTCTTCATGTTTGGGACTGTACTGATCTATGAAACTTGAGTGCAGAAATCGCAGCACAAAACTAGTTGTGATGGTGGCATATTCATGTTTCAAACATGGATAGCTGCCTAACACACTTAAACACAGGGTGGGGAATTTCAAGAGTGGAATTGGAGGTGCCAGGCTTCTACAGGATTCTTCCTGATAACACTTCCAGACAGAGTTTATTGCTATTCTTGAAGACAACATAAGAGAAAAGCTCTTAAGAGACACAAAGGGTGCACAGCCCTCTCTTACCCACCACATATCTGCTTGTTTCTTTTTATTCAGCACAGCTCACATTTGAAAATAAAGATCCTCGGTCTCATATCTACAACAGAGCTTCCATATAGCACAAAGTGTCTGATCCTGATTAATCTTGGAAGCTAAGCAGGGTCAGGCTTGCTTGAAATCTGGATGGGTGTCTTAAATGTCGAATGTCATGAGCAGAGCTGGCTGGAGCCGGGGGTCAGACTAGATGGCCCAGGAGACCCCTTCTGACTCGCTCTGTTTCTATGTAGTGAATTGCCCAAAGAGCTTTGGCTACAGCCTGTATGGAAATATAATTGTTGCCAATTGCAGTACCTCAAAACACCCCAAGAGTAATTGGCCAGAGAAAGGCCCCAATAATAGCTGGCCAGAGGGAGGCCACATAGTAAAAACACCACAGTTATACTGTCCCAGAAGGGAGGGGGAATAAGAACAAAATGAACTTCGTTTAACCCACAGCTAACACACTAGACTGACCTCGAATACGGTAATCAAAGGGGCGGTGGAAACTGGCTCTAGCCGCCATGAAAGTTGCAAATGTGCAGGGAGCAAGAACATGGCAAGCCTGTGTGAATCTCGAGCAGATAAGAAATAGACATGGGAAATGTCTGATCCTTGACAGAAGAAAGGACTCTTTCTCCAGCACGGGAGGGGGTGCATACACTGATGTATCGATGTATTAGATGTGTATTAGGTGACCTAATTGGTTACCTAGGGTATAAAACGCATGTACTGGGGTGCAACTTTCGAGACACTGCTTTGGGCTGAATGTCCCCTTCTGTCTCCCTTTATTCTACAGTGCACTAGAATAAAGCTGGCTTTGGCTCTAAGTCTCGTCTCAGGCTCCTTTTGGTTTGGGTCTGGGTCCACCCGGGTTTGCCCCAGCTGTTCACTGGCTGAGTCCGGTAACATTATAATAATAATATATACTGCCTACAGACCTACTACTGTAACATAACAGGCTATGCAACCTCATACAATAAGGTCTCCACCTATTAGGTACTCAGAAACCACAGAGCTTCTACATATGAGGAGAATCAACCTGCAAGGAGTGGGGATGTCCTGACAGCCCAGCCCCCATTGTTTCCCCTGCCTTTTGTGCATGGAGGGCAACTCGGTGAAGAGGGAGGCCTTCACCATGGTTAGAGGCAGCTCCCTTCTTCACAGAATCAACCTCCATAAGTGCAGACAAAAATGTGTAAGAGTAGAGGGGGTATGGCTAGTGCCTTCTTTTCCTCCCATGAAATATACTAATGTAATCACATAATAATCACAATGGCAATAATAATAGCATACCCAGAATTGGAAAGCCTGAACAGATTCCCCAGTTTGAGACTCTTTGAGACAATTTGTTTGCTTGAGTATTTACAATGTTTTCAGCTTGCTGAATCCAAATCTGTCCATACCTAAGTGGTCTAGTTTAGTGCTGAGCAGTGCTTTTTTTTCATAGAATGCACTGGAACGGAGTTCTGGCACCCTTTTTTGACAGATTTTCCAAGTTTTAAAAGTAACTTTTGAAAATTTGATGTTTGGTCCATGTGGCATGTGTACTTCACACTGGTTGTGATGGCGCTGCTCGGCTTGTGGTGCTGCTCAGCTTGTGATTGGTCATGTGGTCACGCGCTGAGTGCTTACTGCGGGTGGGGACTGTTATGTTTCGTTACACAACTGACGTGTGTGGGTGTGCGTACAGTGATTGACTATGTGTGAAAGGTAAATAATTTCATGAGTTCTGGCACCTGGTGCTGAGCCTAAAACAACCCAAAGATGGCTGACTCCAATCCCTACCAGTATGAACTTGCTTT